GCTGTCGTGTGTGAACATCGTCACTGGGGAGACAAAGGCGGCCGGCCATCGTGGATCCAAGTCCCGGGCGAAGCCGGGTCATCTGTATGTGTGTATGTGTTTATGTGTATGTCTGTGTGTCTGTATGTATGTGTGTATGTATGTGTGTGTATGTGTTTGTGTGTGTGTGCATGTATGTGGGTTTTTTTCTATGTCTTTATGTGTATGTCTGCGTGTCTGTATGTATGTATGTACGTGTGTGCATGTGTTTGTGTGTATGTATGTGTGTGTCTATGTATGTGTGTGTATGTGTTTCTGTGTATGTACGTGTGTGCATGTGTTTGTGTGTATGTATGTGTGTGTCTATGTATGTGTGTGTATGTGTTTCTGTGTATGTATGTGTGTGTATGTATGTGTGTTATGTGTCTGTCTGTGTGTCTGCATGTATGTGTGTGTGTATTGTGTATGTGTTTGTGTGTTTACGCTCGCATTACACAAATGTGTTGCAGGTCTAAGGAGTTCCTTGCGCAGCATTGCCGCTTTATTATTTCAGTCGTTTACTGCCGTACGCACCCTGAAAGTCGTGTGTGTCTGCAGCAAGCGCGTCTATGTATACCTATGGACGCGCGCGCGTGTGTTGTGTATGGGGAACGGTAGTGTAGTGCTTAGCGTGCTGCCTGTGTCTGTGTGTGTGTCTGTGTGTGTGTCTGTGTGTGTGTGTCTGTGTGTGTGTCTGTGTGTGTGTCTGTGTGTGTGCGTGTGTGGTGTGTGGGGAGCGGTAGTGTAGTGGTTAGCGTGCTGTCTGTGTGTGTGTGTGTCTCTGTCTGTGTGTGTCTGCGTGTGTCTGTGTGTGTGTCTGTGTGTGTGTCTGTGCGTGTGTGGTGTGTGCGGAGCGGTGGGTGTAGTGCTTAACGCTACGCTGCGCTACCAACCCGGCGAACCCAGTTCCATTCCCGCTCACGACCACCACCGGTGACGATTATTTGAACCTCCCCTAGGTCGACTCTGCCTCAAACGAGTAACTGCTGTAGCGTATTAACATCGCCACTGGGGAGACAAAGGCGGCCGGCCGTGGTGGATACAAGTCCCGGGCGAAGCCGGGTAGTACAGCTAGTACTGTATAAAATACGTGGCACCTCACCTTGCTCATCGCTGAAAGACAATGACTGAGCGATGAATAATGCAAGCATCAGTGGCCCACTGGGCCCACGTTAAAATTCGAAAAGCGTATTATCTTATTTTTTTCCTTTCGCTATATTTGCCCAGACTGCACTGCAAATGTTTCCACCTATTAATCTTTTCCGACACGAGGAAAAAAATCGATTCCTGTCATTTCCCAGAGAAGGAGGAAAATGTATGCGCCACCAGGATCAATGGTATCTTGACAATTATTCCTCAAATCTATTACTGTTGGATTTTTTAAAATAACAATACTTCAAAACGTAAGGATTTTTGTTTAAGCCGAGACAAAAATTCCGTCCGGTGGACGGGATTTATATCAAATTTACAGTGGGGTAATATGCTAATATGGAATTAAATTGCAGATTAGAAAAATCACATTCTCTAATGGATATAGCTATGGGAAAAAATGGTTATAAAATACGATTTAATGAGATTTCCATTAGCATCACATAATTGGGCCATTAACATACAATAAATGAATCTGCTTAATTGAGCGGTAAGGCGTCGAGCCGAGGAAACATTTTGATAATTAGGTGTTGGGCTATGCACGAAATCAGACATTACTCATGCCACGAAATACATTAAAATATACATGCATTTTTAATCCGTGCATGTCCATGATTCATACGCTTGATAAACACGAAGCCCACATCTTAAAGTGGACAAGTGATTTTCTACCTACACTCAGTCACACGTGGGACATAATGGGTTGCTGTTTAGGGAACATGAAATGGCGTCCTCTAGCTTTAAGTATTCACAATGTTATTGCTTCCCCCGTATGTTTTTTTTAAAGGATTGAATGATGTCATATACATCTCCATCACTCTACCTTACAAATACAGTCCTAAGTTTTGAAGTAACTTTTTTTTTAACAATGGACTTTGCACAAGAGAGGACTTCAGTAAGTCTCTGCTTCAAGGCAAGCAACAAGGTCACAAGGTCATGGTCCGAGAGCCTTTTTGGTTGAGGCCTGGCCCTCGAGGCTAAAGGCCATTGTCAAGGTGCCTTTTAGTCAAATCGTCGGTCCAATGCCACACCCTTGAGGTCAAGGCCAAGATCGGGAGCTGAGAAAATATCCTCGAGGTCCTGGATGGGTCTCACCAACCTCCCCCCCCCCCCCCCTCTTCAAAGTACACATCAAAACACATACAAGAGTCAACAAACACACGGCGGTGATTTTGCCATTTGTTTCAAACATCGGCCGTTTTATTTTATTGGCGCGAATCTTCACAGTGATGCCTGTGCACGGAGCCACGTGCCAGAGTGCATCCCAACTTACTTCTCAATAACCGCCCACCCCACCCCCTTCCCAAGGTGGATTTGATTGACAGCTGAGCTCCTACCTCAGCTCCGCGCACATGATCCACCCGATTTACGTTTCACAAGTGAGCTGGGAGCAATGTGCTCGCTCACAGACATGCAACGCAGCTGTGTCACGCCATGGAACTGGTACCAATTTAAAGGTGTTTTATGCAAATGAGGCAAGGGATACCCACAGTGCTGTACAAAGTGATGAACAAAATGGCCTTTGTGGAGAATTAACAGAAGGCATGTGTTACACTGCGCCGATGATTTTGTTTTATGCCAATTTACATTGAAGGTATCCCCAAGCCACCACTAACTCTCACAGTTTTGTGATGTAACAGTTCACGTAGCATCCTTACTGGAGTTGCTTTCATCACTCCATCTCCTCGATGGACGTCAAATTTATTGGCTGCCACTCCATCATTATTTCTGACCATCGGCCACCGTCTCTTTCCAGTGACGTGTCCTGTCCAACCCCCCTTTACTAATCTTAAGAGTTTGAATGATGTCAGTCATCGCTGCATTGTTATTAATTTTGAGAGACATTGGCACGAATAAACAGATCAACTCACATTTGCAGTCCAATCTTTGCAAGCTGCACGTGAATGTACATGCGATGACATTTGGGGGCGAGTCAATACAGCGGAATGAGACAGAGATGTCACCGGCTGGGTTTAAAATTTTAAAACGACGATGCTTGGGAATAATTCATGAGGAGCGACAACACGTTAGCTCATGTTAAATGCAGGGCCCGTCAGTGGCCCGTGTCAGAACCGCATCGTGTGAGGTACCCGTCGTGCCCTGCCCCCGTAGGTAATAACCATGGGCTTAATTTCAACCGGGTCGGTGCGGGTCAGACAGGCCCTGCACACCATGTCCAGCACGTATAACTCTCGCTATAGCTGTGGCTCGTACTAGTCACTCCTCCTGTCCTACCAGTAACACAGAAAATATTCAGTGAGATACGAAGCCCTGACAATTATGTTAACACAACACATCTAGACCACAAACCGGATGCAAGTTCAAACTAGACAGAATAAACGTGAGTTAATACACTACAGCAATAAATTAAACAATAATAAGGCAAATCGTCTCGATCTACCGGTAAATCTCTAACAGGGCTTACTCGAAGCCTGCTGTCTGCAGTCAAGACTTCACAACAAATATACGCACGACAAGCAGGCCACATCACGAAAACGACAATTGAATAACATTTTCTGAAGACGTAAAAGACAAGTCACGGAAAATGTGGCAGAGCAGCCACAGTTTACACCCTGTCTCACCATCAGCTCAGAAACAATTTTGAATAATACCAACACATAGGTAGTGCGGTGGGAGTTTTTGCACAACGACGCACCGATCAGAAATGGCCCATGAGATGGCACAAGTCCACATCCCACGCAGGCTGCGTTGGTCACAGCGCTGTGTTATTGATGGGCCATTGTGCGTAGGTCACAGCACATCCGCGTAGCCACATGTAAGAGGGGAGTGGTTGCTCCGGTGGCAGGATCAGCCCTTTGGATCTTGTGGACGACACTGAGCACGGTTGTTCAAGACGAGTCTGTTAACACTGCTCTGCTCGAGTCGGCACAACATGCCTGTAATGTGCGCTTTTATAATGCGGTGATGATGTGAATATCGCTGAACCCTTTGAGGGCAGCCCCCTTCTTGCAGGTGTTGAGGGTGCATGGGGGTTAAGCGCAGAGTTGGAATTGAGACATATGGGCAGTTAATCAGCTCACAGCGACATCAGAGAAGGTGCGATGGCTTGGGTGGCTAAGTGGGGTGCTCTGTCAACTGATCTTGTAACGCAATGCCCACTTGTGTTCGGGCAATTGGAAGGCAGAATTGCCTGGTGGTGGGTGGGAATAAAATACACTCAGGTCATCTACTTGGACATATAATTAGCACAGATGGATTCTATCATGGCGTAAAGGTTATCACGCTGGACTTGCAATCCAGATGTTGCTGGTTCGACGTCCTGGCATGAGAGCCATCCCAATCGGCAAGTTTCTCAAATCCTCCAACCTTTGTGTACCTGGTGGTATAAATGTCTACACAGTTTGACGATAGACAGGTCACGTGGTGGGAAGTGTGGGTACTCCCACATTTTCCATGACGTCTGGGCAGTATGGAATAGTCGGCAAAAATAACCTCCCAAAGGGCTCTCTGGAGCAGAGGTGTGAGCAGAATAGTGTCGGGCTGCACCTTTACATTTTTTCTGCACCGACACATCTCGGCCTAATTATTGGCCCTGACAATGACATGTTCGTGTTCTGGAATTCCTCTGGTGCACTGTCATTAGTACAATAGAGCACGCGCAGGCTTCGATGATAAAGGGCACAGATATCGAGCGGAAACATCACCGCCAACCGCAAGTTCACATTACCATTTCGACCACGCTTCTACATTAAATTGCGAAGATGGGTGGTAATTTTCGAATTCAAATACACTGCATATGCGCTGCATGTGTCAATGAATTGGTGGATGACAAGCGACTGAACTGATTGTGGATGACAGGATTTGTACATTAAAAAAAACTCCACTGGCTTGCAAGAAAAATTACATTCCAAAAGATTGCTCAAGATATTGACATAAGGGATACTGAAATAAGCTACAGGAGACACACAAAATGCATTTATAAATGTGCACGAAATAAAATGTTTACGCATCTAATGCGATACGTTGAGAAAGTGCCATCAAAACGCGTGCCAAAGATATTGTGTGGTGACTGCACAAAGTAATTTCTGAGACCACAAGCTGAGAAAATGAAAAATTAATACATTTTCAAGAGGAAATTAAAGTAAAATTCCAAGCCAGCGTGGCCTTTAGGTGGTCATTCCACGCAACATAAAGGAAGAATTTCAATGCGTTACGGAGGCAGCGAGGAACATTTTGTGCTAATTAAGAAGCATCCAACAAATTATTCAACAGCTACATTTTCCGAACACTTTGCATGGGAGGGGAAAAAAAACATAACTATTTATACCCAGTCTGTTTTTGTGTTCTCTTTCGTATTGAGGTATGTTATTGCATGGCTGCTGTCACCAAGATAGGCGGCCTCTCTCCTTTACTGGATTCGAAATCAGGGCCACAATTATTGTTACCGTACACATTAAACCAATTATATGTTAATTCGATACGTGTTAACCGCAAATACTTTAACATTTACTCTTACTTTTACCTTTGAAGGCTGGTCTCAATTTAAACACATCAATCCAACATTAATAGTGCAACATGTTTTTGGTTGTGACTGGAAAAGTGTGTGTCATCTCCTACAGTGAAAATCGACTGCTTTGCATACATACCCTGATCTTTAAACGTGGAATAATTTAGAGGGGACAAAGTTACAAGTCAACTCTGACCAAAACTAAACAATAATATATGCTCTGACAGGCTGAACCCGCTCACCTGCTGTTCTGAAGACGACTGTCGGTGCTACATCAGAGTATCAGTAAGTTATCGCAAAAGAGTTCAAGTCGAGGGTTGTAAAATAACACCCCTCCAGTCGACGATGACAACGATGCACACGACAAACGCTGCGCCGCCTCTGCTTCACGAGTCGTCAGCTCTGCTCGGCTCGTTTTGGCGATGTTCCTCAGCCGAATTTCTGAAGTCTTAGAGGTCTGGTGAGCGTCACAAACTATGCCACGAAAGACGCCTCTGCTGGGGTTGTTCGCCCCCCCCCCTCCCCCAGGGGCGTCCTCTTTATGAGATGGCCATCCTGGGAAATGAATCATTTTCCCGAGACCTTAATAGTCGCGGATTTTGTCAGATGCGTAATAATAATAATAATACTCGTGCAGTGCTCCCCTCTTCCCATATTGAGATATATATATTTCTTTCCATCTTTGATCCCAGTTTTATTTGTACCTCAGATGTGCCAACCACAGCCGCTGTCTCCGACGATGCAAAGTGACGCTGTTGTTTCTCAACCACCTTCTCAATTTGTCACCGATGATGGAGACATCCGTTTGGAAAGTTGTTCTCATCAAAAGCAGCTCCCACACCCACAACGCGGCCATTCGCTCTCCGGCTTCGAAGGTGACGAGAGAGTTTTACTCATCCACGACAGAGCGTCAGCTCACAGGAAGGAATGTCAGGCTGGGTTGGCGCGGAGGTGGATTGCGTTGGTGTAGCTGAGTTTGGGGGCTCGAGAAGCCATGCGGAATGGTGGCAGACGCACGCAATAGGTGTGACCGGGAATTTGACTCTGGCTGCGATGATCAGGAGCGGTAGTGTTAGATCTCCTCCAGGAACTCTTGAGGCACCAGGCCAACTTTGCGCCCATTGGACACCTTGATGAAGCCACTTGATTCTCCACCTTTCTCCACGCACACCTGTGGAGGTAATTGAGAAATCGGGCACGACCAATGTGGCCGTCCAGACATTCATTATGCGAGTCATACCCGATATACACAGCAGACAGCCGATAACATTGCAAGTTAATTGCTGTTATCACAATGGGAGGAACGGATTGCTAATTAGCAAATGATTAATTTTATGGCATGGCAAAGTTAATTCGTAATCTTTCAGGGCTATTTTCTTGATAACAGTAATTAAGATTAACGAGCATCTCAACGCCACATGGCTGTCGTTAAAAATACCTTCTTGAAAGAGAAGATACTTTTTTACAACCGGAAATTTCCATCGCCGATGCTGCACCACACATCGTCTCTCGAATACAAAGTGCAAATTCTTACTCTTAAAAGGGTCTTGCAGAACTCACAGCCATCCGGAATGTTGGGGGCCAACGTACCAATCAATATTGACCATGCTCCAGGGAATAGTTTGGAGTGCAATGGGGAACCACGAAAAACACCCCTTTGATGAATGCGTGCGTTTTGTTGGTTTGAAGTTATGAAGTATCTTGCCGGGCTGAACATGAAGCCGATGCACATTTTATTTGATTCATTATGCATTTGCAAACTCACTTTTAATTTATCCTAATTATGTGCTTGGCCGAACGAGACACAAGCATTCAGTGGAAGCATCAGAACGAAGCGACTTGCTGGTGCTCACTTGCAACGGCACTGTCATCTCGTTGGTCGTGCTTGCCTCCCGGCATTTGGATTTTTTTTTTATCGACTTGTGCACGCGTCGCGTAGCCAACGTCCACACTTGCTCACTCGCTGGTCCCGCTCACTCAAATTTACAAACGCAAGTCTCCCGCTGCCTCGTGATGGTTTCATGTTCCAGATTCCAGAGCTGGGACAATCAGCCAATGCTGTTAACCAGAGGTGTGGACTCGAGTCATGTGACTTGGACTCGAGTCAGACTCGAGTCATGAATTTGATGACTTCAGACTCGACTTGGACTTGCATAACAATGACTTTGTCCCACCTCTGCTGTTAACTGTGACTGAGCTAATGAAGCGAAAATGCTAATGTAGCCACGCCAGCCGTTTCTTTAACGCCGCTGTACACATCGCTGACCATTATCATCGTTAGCCATGGTAAATCCACTGCTGGATGAAGGGCTCCCAAATGCCCGTTTGCAACAATCCACCTCGCACCCGCACACCAAGCTGATTTTGTCGCTCAGTCGCCACTTAGTGGACAGACTCTTGGATGCGTTCCATTCCTTGGCTGCCATTCCGTAATTATGTTTGACCATCCACCGTTCGAGCATCGTGGCGTGCCCAAGCCGACTCGCGTGACACCAGCCAACACTGTCACCTGCTCACCGAGTGTGGGCCAATGATGCAAACGTGGCCGTGTTTTGTAGCAATTTTCTTTACCTCTACTGGACATCGCTACTTGTGCAGCTCTAAATCACTACACGCGGAGGCCACTGTTGGATTGGATCTGACCACAGTTGAAGTTGAATGTCACAAACAGTTTAGTCATTTCATGCCCTTTGTTAATAGCCTGCCGGTTGGAAGGCCTCTTCCGTACTGTGTCGGTTGTGAAGGTTTGTTTGACCATACTTCACCATGCTGGTCAGTGCGGGTTGGTGAAGGGGGGAGCTGAGTTCAGATATCAATTTCCAGTGATGTCAGCTGTTGCCGAACATTTACTTCAGGTGACGTTCGCAGTCGTTAATGCATTAACTTTAACCACTATGCTGCTACTCCTCCCCAACATTGTATTAGTGTCACTTTATAACACGTGTCGAGGTTTGGGTGCTATTATTAAGGCTTCTTTTGAGCCCATAATTAAGGGCAGCAAAAACTATACTAGGACGATTGTGTTTTTTTTGGAATAGCAAATTTTTATACATTTGGCAAATAGTCAAATAACCCACACAACCAATTATAAAATGGTTTTCATTTCATCCTCCTATTAAATTAATACTTCAAAAATGAGAATGTGTTGGTATATTAGAATACAGTGCTTAACAGTAACATCCAGTTAGGCTAAATCCACATTTCTCGCATCTGCAGGTTCAAACTCTTCACCCTTTACAGCCATCAAGCGTGAGAAACTACAGTTGTGCTCAGGGCAAAGTCTGCTAATTTATTTGGAGTCTTCATTCGAATGCAATCAGGCTGGAGCTTGACAACAACGCCTTAGGACAATCCCATGCTGCTGCAGCCGCTGCAAAGGCCTAACGTTTATTCCCGGCTTAAAGACGAAGGAGATCCCATCCGTCGCATTTACAGCAGCACATCGGCCGGATCAACTGTGCCCAACATCAGGTGCTGCCTCCTCGGCGCTTCGCGTGACCAACGGCAGCGTTCCATTCCAATCTCTCAGCGCGGACGGCGGCGCCCGTGGGGAGGAGAACACACGCCGACGGTGCCGACGTGACGAGAGACGCGGAGCGGCGATCCGATAACCCCCTCCTCCTCCCACCACGCTCGCCCACTGCAGCATGAAAAAAAGAGGGCAAATCCACTTCGGGGGCGCAAGCGGCGACGGCACAAAGGGTGGCAGCGCCGCATTCCTCCCGGCTCGCGCGACGAAAGCGATTTGTCACCACGGCCGCCGCGGCCGAGCTCTTGCCGGCGTGACGGAGGCCCTCGGACGTGGCGAGGGAACTCGTCCGAGCCACGTGCGAACTCGACACCGCGCGACGGCAGAGCCGCGTGCCCGGTGACAGATTGTCCCCGCCGAGTCATCTCTGCCAGCATTTTCAATTTGAATAATAATGATAATATAAGCACCATCCCCACCGTAATCAGGGTTTTCACGCCAGGCACAGATAATCGTGGGACGGAATAGGATAAACGTATTGTGGAGATGAGTGAATGGAGTTTTGCCCATTCTTTAGTTCGGTCCAAGCACGATATGGTAGGGGTTGATCTGTATCAAATGGGGAATGCTGCAATTAAAGCAGACGAGTGAAACAGCATTTAAAAGCCACAACATTGTTTACATCATTTGTATTACAATGAAGCTATGAATAAACGGTCTTACTTTTCTTAATTCAAATTAAATTTTTTGTGGTGGGCCCCATTGGAGTCTTCAAAAGTGGAAGTGATGTCATGCCCATATGAGCATTGAGGCGGTGTTCATCTCCCTTGGCCAGTGGTGGAAATGCCACATTCATATGGCAGGGCCAAGTCTATCCATAGAACTACACTGCTGACTTCCTCATTCTATTGCGCCTCCCCCCCCCTCGCTCTATTGCCGAGCCACCCTGGCCGAGCATCCCATTTGCTCCGTGCTCGCTAAACCAGGCCCGGGGCATGCGCTCTCGCCTCTGGTGGGCCTCTGGTGGGCCTCTGGTGGGCCTCTGGTGGGCCTCTGGTGGGCCTCTGGTGGGCCTCTGGTGGGCCTCTGGTGGGCCTCTGATGGGTCTCTGATGGGCCTCTGATGGGCCTCTGGTGGGCCTCTGGTGGGCCTCTGGTGGGCCTCTGGTGGGCCTCTGATGGGCCTCTGATGGGTCTCTGATGGGCCTCTGATGGGCCTCTGGTGGGCCTCTGGTGGGCCTCTGGTGGGCCTCTGGTGGGCCTCTGGTGGGCCTCTGGTGGGCCTCTGGTGTGCCTCTGGTGGGCCTCTGGTGGGCCTCTGGTGGGCCTCTGGTGGGCCTCTGGTGGGCCTCTGGTGCGCTGCTGGCCCCCTCACCTGCTCCTGCTTGAGCGTGAGCTGCCCCAGCTGCTTGTTGCCCACAAAGGTGCGCAGCGCCTGGAAGACTCGCTCCCCGGGACGGACGCGCACCACGAAGTTCGCGGGGAAGTATCCCACCCTGTCCCCGAGCTTGCCCTGGAGGGAAGGGGGCATGCCGTGCATGTACAGCGCAAAGACGAACATTTCCCGTGTGGCCTTCAACAAGCTGTTGGTGAGCACCTGTGAGGATGGACACGGCGCACGAGGGGCTGGATGGTCGGCGCCACACCCAGCCGCCTTTGTCTACCCAGTGGCGATGATTACGCATCGCACCAGGTACGCATTTAAGGCAGTCAACCTAGGGGAGGGCTCAGGTCCGATGAAAATATTTGACACTGTCACTGCTCGTGAGCGGGAATCGAACTTGCGGTCACCGGGGGCTCGTAGTGCAGCGTTGCTCACCACCGGATCACGGCTAGACAACAACAACAACATCAACAACAACAAACGCCGTTCACCATTAAGTGGTGGTGACGTCACCGCGGTGCTTGTGCCATGCTAGGTGCACTTTTAGGCCACGTGAAGTGTCGAAGACCTGCTGGCAAGTGGTCACGGTAACAGACCCAGATGCACGGAAACGTCATAAATGCAGAGACGCGTACACACATGTACGCACAAGAGTGCACCCACAATAACACACGCATTCATGCAAGTACGCGTGGACACATATCAGCACACGCGCCCATCCGTGCACCAGCCCCAGGCATGCACGCGAAGACATGTGCACTCACGCATACGCGGGCTCACATCTATTAATGCACCGGCATTTATAAATGCACCAACATTGATATTGTATATGGAACGCACGTGGCAGTTGGTCGGTGGTGCCACATTATAGTTTGTGGGTGGAGACAACTACAGGGTGGATCCATCTATAGATAAGCCACCGATTTCAAATGAAACCTCATAGATTTATATTCCGCAAGTGATTGCACAGTGTGAAAGTGATGGCTCGATAGCTAACAGAAGGAGAGTGATTTTACGAGTGAGCTCATGAGACCGGCGGGAGACAACTCGAGGTACTAAAATAAAATGCAGTTCTGTTTTTTTTTGTAAAAACATAATTTCTCCCTTGCAATTTATCAGTGGGGTATCTATAAACGGATCGCGCTTGTGCCCGGTACCTTCCACCACTCCTCATTGGAGTCGTCCAGGATGCTCAGTCTGTCCCCCGGCCTGCGAACAACAGCGAGGATTTATACGCGGTGTTTGTTTACGCAGCGTCTAAATGCGACCACGTCTTGGAACGCTGCGCATAAACAGTGGACACATTTACTTTACAGAAAGAGGCGGTCAGTCACAGGCAGAGAGAGAGAGAGAAGGCAGATCTTGAACCTGCAGTTGCACAGTGCGGGGGAGGGGCGGTGGAAATAAGAACGCCTGGGGGAATGAACGTAAAGTTGGGCTTCAAACAGCTTTGCCCTTGCCATAGGAATGTGTAATTTCCACCGCTGGTTCAGGATTGGCAGTGGAGGTGAGCGCCACCTTTTTGCTCACTTTTGGGTAGGGGTAAATGTGCTATTGTGTGCTATAGATGCATGGCAATTGATACACAGAGTACCGTACAGCTAAACAGAAACCTAATGGCACTTACAGGCCAGGGTTAACCGACGCTGGTGTCGTATGGTTGAAAGCAGAGTGTCCGATGCATGATAGGACCAAGTTGTGGGGGGGAAAACCCATGGGGGACCAGGTCGAGTATTCAAGGGGTCCATGCCAGCATGGTGCCTGCCCTTTTTGCTGTCCAGTAGTTTGACAGGGCAGCTGTCCCCGCCCCCCCCTCCATTCACCCCACCCCCCCTCCATTCACCCCACCCATCCCATATATATTCCATCACGCGTAACGCAAGACTGCGCGTGGCTGAACATCGGATGCCGAAGCTGCTGCCTCGTGAACCAGATGCAAAAATTGGCCAAAAATGGAAGGGGTGACATGTTGCGATGGGGAGAAGCAAAGAATTTTGGGGCTTGAGCTCTCGAGCCAACCAAAATACTATCGTCACCCCGAACACCAATCCAACAGACCACCAGCCGCGAAGACTGGCCCCCTTTCACTGACCATAACATACCATAACCTGCACCTGAACCCCACCTTGTTTCAATGGGGCCCATTTTTGGCCCATTTTTGTTTTGTTTTGGCATCATGACGGTGGCGGCGTCGACACGAGCACCGAGCACGGGATGGGGGCTCCTGGGCGGGGGGACGACGGCCACTCACTCCAGAGCGAGGTCGTCTTTCTCGCGCGTGCCGAACCGGTGCAGCGCCACGAACGTGTACAGCTGGCTGAAGTCGCGGCGGGCGGCCGCGGCCGACGCCGGCACCGACGCTCGGCGCTGCCAGCGGTCCCGCTCGCCGGCTTGGGGGCACGCAGCGAGGGCGAGGTCGGCGTTATGGTGGCGTTCCGTTGCCAGCGTGCCTCCCTGCTGGCAGGAGAGATGGGACCGACGGCCGTCAGGGCGCTGGATTTGCAGCGCGGTACGGTAACCACCGGGCTGCCGTTCCCCACGCGTGTGAACGCATATACCATACTCGCGTACACAGACGCAGGCACATTAATTTTAGAGCATAATCATGAGCGTGCAAGCTACGTCTGATACCTACTGAGAAGACTACCCTCTTGTCATCGAGACTCAGCTTTCTTAGTCGTCCCTCTGCTGTGTGGCACACTGCAACACATTGACAACAAAGACAGTAACACTGTGCATTAAATATTCACTTCCACCATAGGTTAAGATAGTGTTAAAAAGTGTGTGAGTCATGCCACAGTCACATCATTGGAGCACCACTTAATGTGACTTTTAAATAAACTCAACACACATCAACAACACTGCCTTCATAAAAAACATACAATCGGCGACGTTTCAGACAATGGCCATTCTGCATTGCACATGCGACTTTAAATACTTTTCCCCACATTGCTCCACAAGAGATGGGAATGGGTACTTCATCTCATGACACGCTACCGATGGCACGGTCGCGATGAGATTGTGAGATTATTCTTTTTGTTTGTAAGATTCAGGCGGGGGAAAAAGCACCATAATCGAGTGGATCGGAGGAGAGTCACTCACCGCCCCGGGCCCAACTCCTCCGACCCTCGGGGCCCTCTCCGTTGGTGTCCTCGTCCTCTTCCTCAGTTTCGCACAAATCCTTCAGGCCCATGGGTAGCGGTCGGCACGAGCAAAATGCACAGAGCGGACACAACGTGTTAACCCAACCGCGTCGCGAGCATGCCCCCCCCCCCCCCCTATGTCTGTGTTCCAGCCTCTTGGGGGCGAAGGTTGATATTATATCACGTACGTTTTTGTAAGATTCCCAGAACCTGCAGGGTTTGCTAAGAGACAGCAACAGGAAGATCACGCTCCTGTCTCCGTGTGGAGGTTTGCTCATCACGTGTGTGCGTGTGTGTGGGGAGGGGGGGGGGGTTCTATCACGAGTTCTACAATCTCCTCCTGCACAATAAAGGCTCGTGAAAAGAGAAATGTACAAAAAAAACCCGTGGAGAAGAGTTTTGAGACTCAGCGAGGTTCTCCTGGGTAAGGGACATTACTAATTAGTAATTAGTAATGTCCCTTACCCAGGAGAACTACCAATGCAATGTATTCAACCACAGAATAATAGTAACTGTAGCTTCAATAAATCATATTTAGTAAAAACTATTGAAAGCTTTTAAATGTTTGATCTTAGACATGATACCAGACCACGACTGCCTAACTCTTGCGAATTATACCACAGGGATCTTCAATGTCCGCTTTAAGCCAACGGCAAATTCATGCAATATGGATCAGTGGCGAAACTCGTGCCCCGAAATGTGCGTGTGTTAATCGATTATTTAGTGTTTAAGCAAATGCTCATGTTACATTTAGACTCGTGGAACAAATGAGACGGAACGAGGCAGAACGAGCCAGGAAGGAGAAAACACGAGAATCGATACAAAGGAGACGGTAAGAACGAGAGAAGGCATCGATTACAGAATTGGATTGTGTCCCTGGATCGTGACAATTAATTTCATCTTGTTGGGGGGGGGGGTGGTTATTGTGACTCAGTACGTGCTCTCTGTACACCACGAAAACTCCGAAAGGGCACGCAGAGATGAAAATAAACCAGTCCGACGGCAATGTCAACCTCGCTTAGTTCAGAGAGTGGAGGTCTGCTGGCGCATTGTTTTATTATGTTAAACACAAGCTCCTCGTTGCAAGCACAGTCAGCGACATGATCACTGTGCATATTTATCGCCAACTAACGCCTTGCCATTCTATGCTGGCAGAAAGTAAAAAAGGCGTAAAAATGTTTTTATTTTATTTTATTAAAATGAATGTGATGAAAGTCTGCTATTCATTTAACAAGGCAGTGAGGACGTGATGAAAATAGCAAAGTGAAGAGCGAACACGAAGGGAAAAGGCCATACTACTTCGTAAGAGGGTTTGGGGGCAACCTGCTAGAGCTAGAGGACCCTAGTCAAATAACATCCGACCCCAAAACTATCCCACCAGCTGATAAAAACAAGGCTTTACTCAAACTCTGGTATAAACGAGTCGAGCAGGCCAAAAACACCAGCCATACTCCTACCCTAACAAGCCTTACCCATAACCCCAAAACAGTCAACCACATGCCACCCCTAACAAACTAGCGCATAACTAGATAACTACCGCCCAGGTATCATCCCTTCTCTGCAATACCGAGCCTAACTCTAACCCGAGCTCCACCGTGACAGAGCCTCACATTTCCCCTCCACAGCTCGGACTGTGCACCCCGTCAAGGTGCCCCTCCCCCCAGGTTGCCCCCCTCCCATCGCACCCCCGTGCCCCCCCCCCCCAGTGCCCCCCTCCCATCGCACCCCGTGCCCCCCCCCCCCCAGGGTGCCCCCCCTCCCATCGCACCCCGTGCCCCCCCCCCGGTCCGCACCGCGCTGTCTTCGCGCGGGCTGCAGGGCGCCTCCCCCGCCGCCGCCTGCGCGCGTCTCTGCTGGGCCAGGGAGGTTCCATAGCGCAGCGCCTCGTACACCGGGTCCAGCTTGTTCCCAGACGCTGTGTCCAGAGCACACGGGAGTACATCACAGCACGCCACGTCACACCAGAGCACACCGGAGTACATCACAGCACGCCACGTCACACCAGAGCACACCGCGTCACACCAGAGCACACCGGAGTACATCACAGCACGCCACGTCACACCAGAGCACACGGGAGTACATCACAGCACACCGCGTCACACCAGAGCACACCGCGTCACACCAGAGCACACCGGAGTACATCACAGCACGCCACGTCACACCAGAGCACACCGGAGTACATCACAGTACGCCACGTCACACCAGAGCACACGGGAGTACATCACAGCACGCCACGTCACACCAGAGCACACCGGAGTACATCACAGCACGCCACGTCACACCAGAGCACACCAGAGTACATCACAGCACACCGCGTCACACCAGAGCACACCGGAGCACATCACAGCACACCATGTCACACCAGAGCACACCGGAGTACATCACAGCACACCGCGTCACACCAGATCACACCGGAGTACATCACAGCACACCGCGTCACACCAGAGCACACCGAAGTACATCACAGCACACCGCGTCACACCAGAGCACACCGAAGTACATCACAGCACGCTGCGTCACACCAGAGCACACCGGAGTACATCACAGCACGCTGCGTCACACCAGAGCACACCGGAGTACACCACAGCACACCGTGTCACACCAGAGCACGCCGGAGTACACCACAGCACACCGTGTCACACCAGAGCACACCGCGTCACACCAGAGCACACCGCGTCACACCAGAGCACACCGGAGTACATCACAGCACACCGCGTCACACCAGAGCACACCGGAGTACATCACAGCACGCCGCGTCACACCAGAGCACACCGGAGTACATCACAGCACACCGCGTCACACCAGAGCACACCGGAGTACACCACAGCACACCGTGTCACACCAGAGCACGCCGGAGTACATCACAGCACGCCGCGTCACACCAGAGCACGCCGGAGTGCATCACAGCATGCTGGGGCACACCAGAGCACACCGGAGTACATCACAGCACGCCGCGTCACACCAGAGCACACCGGAGTACATCACAGCACGCCGCGTCACACCAGAGCACACCGGAGTAACATCACAGCACGCCGCGGAACACCAGAGCACACCGCGTCACACCAGAGCACACCGGAGTACATCACAGCACACAGCATCACACCAGAGCTCGCCAGAGTACACAGCACACCAGAGTACACCATCAACACCCCACGGAGCATGCGAAAATAAACAACGCAGCATACAACAGTATTCCAGAGTACACCACGATACGCGAGAGTACACAGCAACATGCCAGAGTACACCAAGACATACCAGAGTACACCAGAGAAAGAACACACCACAACACCAAGTGCACACCACAACAAGCCAGAGTTGCACCACGACACACCCCACACTTCCGATTCGCACGATTGGCTATGTACGGTGCGAAAGAAGTTCAACGTACGTACATACAGAGCACTCCACAACACACCAGAGTCCATCACGGCACACCATAGTACACCACGGCACATCAGAGCACACAATAATACACCAGAGAAGCACACCAGAGCACACCAGAGGATCACACCACGACACACCAGAGCACTCCAGAGTACACAGAGCATTGGAGGCGGGGGGCGGGTGGGGGGGCATCGAGAGAGTACATGGGGGCAGTGAGACGCAGGAGATGCAGTCGGGTTGCGGTGTTGATTTAATGGGCTGGGGGTCGGAGTAGGTGGCAGGTAAGCCAGAGTGAGAGCGCGAGAGAGCGCGAGAGAGCGCGAGAGAGTGAGAGCGCGAGTGAGTGAGAGCGCGAGTGAGAGGAATTGGATGTGGGTGGTTAGAATGAGGGAATGTGTTTTATGAGAGGACTAGGATGACTGCGTCATGGTTTATGCGAAGCAGCCGTGTTCCTGTCCCGCATTCGTGTGCAATTAATAATTCAAGCGCCGTAAATTGAATTAGTGAATTTCATACATCAGTGCCTTACCGCTTTTAATAGGCAACCCATGTGTCATCATGCATGAGCTTAAATAAGTGGACTGTTTAAACTTGGAGCCGGGCATTCGCGTGTATTACAATTAAAAGCTAAGGTGATATGCATGAAAACAGCTGCATTTGGTGGGTATATTTATGTACACACTCGCTTAATACAACAAACAATTCCTGGGTCATTTCATCAACATTCTGATGGAATGGGCTGCATTTCCAACATGGAAATTGGAGGTGTTTTTAAATGTTACTGCGCATTTTTGTCTGTATTTATCGTTATAATCGTCATTAAAGAACCGTGCAGTACATTTCCATTTCCAGGCAAGAGGAATGACAATAAGTGCACAAACTGACTGACAAACAAAGCAACATACGTGCCCCAACTTGGCTTTTAGAATTCTGAAATCATCACAACAAGAGGGCCCAACAACTCAATTCCCAAAACTTCCCGTCGGAAATCGTAGACTCACCGAGGGGCATGACTTCTTTGATGCAGGCAAACTGCCCGTTCAGAAGCAATGGAGAGCTGGACTGCCTCCTGAACCCTTTCGGCTGGGGCACAAACACAAACGCGTACAACGATATAGCGTCTTGCGTCAAGAGCCCACACTACTCACGCGATCGCCTCCAAGGAGGTCTTGATAAATACAGGCGCTGCTGGCCACCTGCCACCGCCGCCGTCGTTACATTTGAGCGGCTGACAATTCGGCTGTCCGAGCTTATAATGTTTGCCAGCTGCTGGTCAGGTTACACTGCTGACACGTGGACAGCTCGATAGCACCACGCCGTGTCTCCATAGCGTTTGGAACGAGCACTTACAGAATGCGTTCACCGCCGTGGTGGAAATGCCGTCTGTCCGCCACTCAGCAGCGTAGATGGGTTCGTCGCAAATAGCCGATAAGCGGGTCCCGTGTGGTGGGGTAAAGTGTTGGTCACTACCACCTCTTCCGAGAAATTTTGCGAAAGTGGCAGAGTAGGCCAAATGCCCTCTAAAAGGCTCGTTAGAGCTCCCTGAAGAGGGGGTAATTTCAGGGCTGTACCCTTTACATTGTACAATTTTTTGTAATATAATAATGTATGTTAGAGTTGTTTAATATTGAGAATTAGCATTAAACGGTGGTGCGTTGGTGCAGTGGTTACCGCACTGTGCTGTGATCTCGGTCAGTGGCGAATTACATTTGAACCACAGCCCAAGAGGCCCCCCTTCGACAACCCGCACTGACCAACTTGGTGAAGTATGGTTAAACAAACCCTCATGATTGACAGGGCATCAGGAAGCCTTCATTCAGCAGTGATTTGACAAAAGGGATGAGTACGTAGCTATATACGTGAAATACCAATGTCAGAATTTTGATTAATGCAAAAACCATACGGTGCAAGTGCAGTTTGACAAAAGGCTGTGAATCAGCATTCAATCCTGGGGAAAAAACTGAATTTCAACCCAGCATAGTTGTCCGCAACAAGCGGACAGAATAAGTTGTTTCCGTTGTGAAAAATAAAATGCAATACACACACATGCGCTTGCACGTTGTGGATTATACATCATATGTAATACTTGAAGGAATGTAGTCTCACTCGCGAGGAGATGGCAGTACAGCAATGGATACTTGAATCTATCTGTGCAAATCTTTTAGTGTTATCCTTTCGTATGCATGGGCTATCTCTAGGTGCTCTGATTTTCTGCCACATGCCAAATACTCGATAATGGAATTGGCCAAACATCCCAATGCCGGACCCTGCTGCAAAAGATCCTTGAGGCTCAGTGAGAAATATATCACTTGAAGCCAGGCAGCATCAGTGATCTTGCCTCTGATGACCTTTTGACCTGACCACCCACCATGGTAGAAATACGTGTAAGACAGGAATCATCTGTATATTAACAATCTGACAACACCACTTATGTATTGGAGTTATGGGACTGTAGTTGTCATACCTTCCATTCTTTCAAACTGGCCAAGCAACAGACATGTGCAGTACGACACATGTTGACCAACATTTGGAAACCTCTTCTAAGAAAAAGTAACTTGAATGCTACATCCCAAGGACCCCGTACACACACTCCATTATCTTCCAAGGTCCACAGCTCCAGGTAGGCACACTAAATATCTCACGTTCATCTTCAATCTGATCTCAATATAATACACTTCGTGTTGTTTTAGCCCCAGTGACCAATAGCTCCAGTCGAAACTTCAATCTCCGCTCTTTCTCTGCTGCTTCCTCCATGTCTAAAATCCTCTTCCGGATGTCGTCAGGACTATGAACTCTCCCTCCCCCACTTCAAGTCGGGGCTTGAGACCTTTCCCTTCTCCGCGCATGACCGCCTGTCTCTTCTGTTTGAGGCATTTTCATTCTCACCGCATTACCATACTCTCGTCACCTCTGCCGCTCTGCCATGCAGCCTCTTAACCCTCACTCGCTCCCCTCCAAAAATAAACGTTGCCCTTTCACAAGTTGTCTCGGTGCACATGCCCTCTCGCAGTTGCCGTCAAATTCAGTGACTTTGCAGATACAAATTGCGTTGGACTGCAGCGTTTCACCTGGGATGCACCCAATTCCTTCAGATCTCAAAGCTAAACGTTAGATGAGCCTGGATAGCACTTGGATGGGTGATCTCCGCAGGCGGCTGTGCGAATATGCTGTTGCGGCTATGCTGTGGGCAGCAGAGGGCAGTGCACGAAAATCAGTTGTTGTACTGTACTTCTATGCTTCTGCATATATGCTCCTGGCCTTTACCAACCTGGCAGCAATCAGTGTGATGAAGCACCTCATGTGGGGAGGCCCTCATTCAGCAGTGGATTGACAAAAGCGCTGTACACGAATCGTTATCATCATCCGTGATTAATCCACGGCTGGATGATGGCCTCCTCACACTAGCGCCATCCATCATGGGATGAAGGCCCATGATGGATGAAGTCTGACGACGGAATGGCAGCAAAAGGAAGGAAAACGCAAGCAAATTGGTGACCGCCCTGGAGATGGAGCGGCGAGATTGGTTCGCGTCAGAGGTCGCAAACGGGTTTTGATTCCTTACCCTAACCCGTACCCGGCCGCACCAGGGTCGCAAACGGGTACCCGTACCCTACCCGATACCCGGCCGGGTACGGGTAGCTGGGTATCGGGTAGGGTACGGGTATCGGGTACCCGATTGCGACCTCTGGTCCGCGTGCAGGAGTGAGGTGGGCGGTGGCACGTCGCACGCTCCACCAGCCATGACGGACGAGCAAGCCGCCCGTGCAAGGAACGGGCGCCTCTGACCAATTCTTCAGGAGTGTGCCCAATTCTCAAAAGCTCAGCATGATTTTGGCTGAATAAGTGCTTGGATGCGCAACCACCGTGCAGTGCAGGCGTCTTAGGTGGTGGGGAAAGACTGGCCAGGAGAGGGCGGTGCACATGAATTCTGTTGCTTCTGTTTCCTCGTCTGTTCCCTGCCTGCAACCCACATTGACCAGTGGTGTGAAGAATGGTCCAACACCCACCACGGGTAGCAGCGGGTGGCGCCGATCCAGCAGTGGACTAACAAAAGGGCTGTAGGTGGAGGACAATGTAAAAGATTCAATGTGTTCTCATACCCTCCACGTGATGTTTTTGGTAAACGTTTCATTACCCAAATCATCGTGAACAGTCACACTAGATTCCCATCTTACCAAAGTGTGAGTGTGAGGGGATCTGTTGCAGCAGTGTAGGCGTGGCGTGGGCACGAGCAAGTGCTCTCTTACCATCTTCCCAACGCAGCGTTGCTGGTTGACGCATGCCTGGCACCGCTGGTGCACGCTCATCTTGCAAGTCTTGCAGCGGATGCCCAGTTTGCTGACCGGCTGCACGTCCGTGCCTGTGGGGCAGCAACAGCGAGAAGAGAGAAAGGGAGACACGCCTAGTCTTTCTTAAAAATGACGTTTGTCTTTTTCCCAATTTGTATCTCGATTGCGCTCCCAAAGGCGTCATGTCAAGAAGTGAAATATGCATACGGGACCTCTCGCGTAACAGCGCAGGTAGGGAACGGTGCTGGGGAATGGCACCGGAAGTGGGTATTGCAGAGCTAGCTCTAAGATCTCTTCAAGTGACCTCTGATCCACAAAGTAGAGCATAGCACTTACCACGTGCCCACCCATTTTCCATACGAGTGTAATGTTTGTCAGTAAAATATGATATTTAGTGAAGTGCAGAATAAGGTACTTTCAAATAGCTTTCTTTGCTTTCGATTTAAAGCTTTCGTGACTGCAGGGATTCATCTTCTTGGTTCTTTCGGTAAAGTCACGTATAATGGAAATAATAAAATAATAAAAATTTAACATAATAAAATAAATCTCAGGTCTGTCGAGAAGACAGACTCTGTTTTCTCGACAGACATGTTCTCCACCTGAGGACGGCTGCTTGCGTTGTGGCCGAAACGTCGTGAGAATTATTTTATTATGTTTTATTTTTATTATTTTATTATTTCCATTCTACGTGACTTTACCAAAAGAACCAAGAAGAAGAGCTTTCTTTGCCTTTTCCCCAGCAGTCACAAAAGCAGTGACGCCACCCCTCACTAGAGAACCGTCCGGGGTGAACTACTTCGGCCCTGGTCTAGACCGCCGTCAGTGAATAACGAAGCTCACCGACGATCATGCGGTTGCAGACGTCGCAGAAGGTCGGCTTCTTGAAGCTGTGGTCCTGGAACGAGTGCCTGCGCTCGGGGCACCCCGGCTGGATCCGCGGCGAGGTCGGAGGGCAGCGGCGTCGCGGCTCGTCGTCATCCCCGTAATCGCCTGCCCCTTGCGAGCTGCCCTCCCTGCCGGGCTCGCTGCGGGCCCGGCCCGGCCGCCGGGTCCGCACGACCGAGTCGGGCAGCAGCGGCGGCGGAATCCCAAGGGCGGGGCTCAGCACCGCCGAGCGCTGGAGCACGTTGTGGTCGCTCTGGCTGCGTCTCTGCAGCGCCTTCGACTTGAAGGACAGCGTCTTCCTCAGCCTGGCCAGCTGCACGGTCCCGAACGTGAAACGGCACACGTACGCAGGCACGTACACACAGAGAGCCTCCGAATGGCCTTAACAGACTTTTGGGGCAAGTGCTGTAGAGCGAGCACCAATGAAGGCTGGCACGGTAAACGAGGGGGGTGGGTGGCCAGCACCACACCCGGCCACCTTTGTCTCCCCAGTGGTGATGATTTTACACACTGCACCAGGTACTCATTTGAGGCCGAGTCGACATAGGGTATCGCTTCACAACCGCTCCCCACACCTATATATACACACACACACATAGACAGCCCTGTAGCCACTGGTGGAGCATGTGGGGGTGGGTGGGGTGGCACGTGCCCCCCCAATGATTCAATCGAAATCCCTAATTTCGATCGGATCATTGGGGTTTATTAGTAATAAATCGGCATTTTGCAACCCGCACTGCCACTGTGTAGCATATTATTACGTGCCAGTGACTCTACGAGATGATAGGACAATAGTCTGAGTCCATAATTGGCAATAAATGACGGCAAAGCGGTTATAAGTGACTCAGAATTGTGCGCAGTTGCGTATACAGTACACGACTTCCCTGAAGGCATCAACACCTTCAGCGAGCGCGATGCCGATCACACAACGCGGTTCGAATTCGACCCTCGATCGCTGGCTGCGCCATCGCCGCACACGCGTCGAATAAAAAGCAAGGGACAAGTCCTTACTTACCAACAACTCCTCTATCATGTTTCATTGCTGGAGGGGTTGCCCCCCCCTACCTGAAAATCCATTGCCCGTAGCCTGAGTTTGTTTAAAGGCATACAAACACCGATTTACATATCACTTGCCACCGACGTTAGCCAAAGCCAGGAATTCAACTTGGCTCAATGGATTTATAGTGCAGCTGTGTTGACCACTGCACCACCGCACGCCCCATAGTGAAGTTCACAAAATATAATTTCCATAAATATCCCCCCTACTGACGTTGCATAATCATAGCCACCCAGTTTCCTGTTGCTCTGGTATAGAAGAAGAGTAGTCGACGGCATACATGACCTGCTGAGATAACACCAGGCTGTAGTTGTCATCGACAGGTGGAATGCTATTGCTTGAGGTCTCCGGACACAATGAATCCCTTATAACAAGGCCAGGTGACGGCACAGGCGTGCACCTGTGCACGCGTCGCTTTTAGTGAATCACGTACACTGCTCGTTCGATACGAATGTAAATATGGATCCCCAGAGATACTGGTGGGTGGATTTTTGCTTCACTCAACAATGGAGTGTAGACACAAGAATACAAATATAAAATTAGATTTCAGTCAAAGGATGTTTAAATATGAAAACCTGTGCATACGGGAACAGTAGTCGATGTACAAAAAATCCCCCAATACAAAGTACAAACGAATAGGCGCAAGGAGGCCAGAAGATGGCAGTGCAGCAATTGATGATTGGATCCGTGTGTGCAGAGCTTCGAGTATTATCTCCTCATTTGTGTTGGCTTTCTCCGGGCACTCCAGATTTTCTTCCACAAGTGAAACACTCGTGAAATAGAACTGGCCAAGCAGCCCAATGCAGTACTCTTCTGACAGAAAATCATTGGACTCGTCGAGGCTATCCTGAGGTAAATAAAGGGCATTGTTAAGATATGCTTTCAATCTCATTAAAAACCGGTAAGGCTGCGGTCGATAAAAGTGCCCATTAACTGCAAGAGGGAATGAAGGTTAAATAAAACACATAGGCCCCCCCCCCCCCTTGCTCAACCGTCCCTCTATAAATTGCTACCAGGGTGAGATGCCCTGGCGCTTAACCGCGTTGTCAAATCATTTCAAGATAACGCCAATGAAATACCTCGCGTCGCCCCTTAACGTGGGCGTAAAGGTGTGAAGTCAGCGCGCAACACGAATCAGCGATGTGACTGACTGTGGATGGCAAGCGTCGCGTGTGTCTGCAATCAGCCAAATTGGTTGGGGGGGAGGCGGAGGATGCAAGGGTTTGGCGGATTTAGAGAGATTTGTGAAACTCCACAAGCTTCTGCACCAAGAGCTGGTGCCGTCGATGGCAGAGAAACGGGACGCGGGTGCGTGACGTCACCGACTGTTTGGACCTGTGAGTGTTTTGCCACCCCCCCCCCCCCCCCTTGTAGGGGTGGAATTTGTTGCAGGTTCGCCAGTTTCCTCCCGCACCTGCAGCACTGAGACTCAACTAACAGCAATTTAAAGCGGCCAAACATCGCAATGCAGGACCCTCCTGGAATGAAGTCTTCAGACTCGAGTGACACTCTCCTGGATAAGTGACATTGCCTCTGATTAGCGCGGTTGGCTACGTACTGTGCGAAAGAAATTCAACGTGCATATACACATTCATGGGCGGAGTTTGGGGGGGGGGCACGGGGGGGGGCAACGTCCCCCCAAACTGGACATCTTTATTAATTCATTGTTAGTATTTTTCGATTTAAAGCTTTCGTGACTGCAGGGATTCATCTTCTTGGTTCTTTCGGTAAAGTCACGTAGAATGGAAATAATAAAAATAAAACATAATAAAATAATTCTTACGACGTTCAGCCACAACGCAAGCAGCCGTCCTCAGGTGGAGAACAGGTCTGTCGAGAAGATAGAGTCTGTCTTCTCGACAGACCTGAGAATTATTTTATTATGTTTTATTTTTTATAATTTTATTATTTCCATTCTACGTGACTTTACCGAAAGAACCAAGAAGATCATTGTTAGTAGTTTACAATTAAGATGAAAAATAAATTAATTAATTCCATGCATGCAAAATATAGAAGTCAAACTCCGCCTATGTTTGCAACGCTGTGAAAACTCAGTCATACTTTAGATATCCACGTGCTTCAATATTTTGCCTCTTCCTTTGTCGCATCTACTACCCTCGTATTGCATTCCAGCACGTTCTTCCATCTCACTCGTGGTCTCCCTTCCCTAATTCCCTACCACGTGAAACCTTGACAGCTACATCTGAAGATCAACTGGCATGCGTTGCTCTGAACGGACCCTTCTGGTGATAATGGCGGACTTTGACACCGGTAGCAAATTATGCTGCTTTTCTTTTACGGGCCACACCGATGATGAGACTCAGAGAAGTGAAAGACAGTTCACCGTCTACTCGTTCAAACAAACACTTGGAGGCACACTGCTGCAGCAGGCTCATTGGTCGATAGACTTTGCTGGATGTGGTCTTCTTTTTCGTTCACGTGTTACCATCATTTGTTAAGATGGCGGTGTCCGCAACTTTGATTACATGTAATATTCCTACTTTATTCGGGTATGACTGCATTTGTGGCTCATCACCAGTTGTTGCTGAAGTCGGTCTCCTTCCACCGTGTCTCCGTAGACCAATGGTAACATTCACCATCTTATAGTAATAGGTTTTTACCCTTTCAACTAGTACAAAAACTGACACCTTTATACAAGGCATCATGTTTGCAATAACCACAACACAAGCAGTTAAAATGCAAACAAAAAGAAACAACTCTGATGATGATAATGATTTGCATTGTCCTTGAAGTTTATTGGTCCACACCCGAGACAGCTTTTCTTAGAGCCTAGTCTCCATTGGTGTTGGACCAGATGACGCCAAAAGGCGCACAATCAAAGTTGTTTCTTTTTGTTTGCATTTTGACTGCTTGTGTTGTGGTTATTGCAAACATGATGCCCTGTATAAAGGTGTCAGTTTTTGTACCAGTTTAAAAGGGTAAAAACCTACTACTATATGTTGTCACTGGTAAAGGAGGTCTCATAGTGTAAATGCTTACCCCGAGCTCTCAATACTCTGATAGTGAGCTGTCTTTGAGTTGTACGCCTTTCGGCGTCATCTGGTCCAACACCGATGGAGACTGGGCTCTAAGAAAAGCTGTCTCGGGGGTGGACCAATCAACTTCAAGGACAGTACATATCATTATCATCATCAGAATTGTTTCTTTTTGTTTGCATTTTGACTGCTTGTGTTGTGGTTATTGCAAACATGATGCCTTGTATAAAGGTGTCAGTTTTTGTACCAGTTGAAAGGGTAAAAACCTATTACTATATTTTGCCACTGGTAAAGGAGGTCTCATAGTGTAAATTCACCATCTTGTTACATACCAATTCGTAAATAATGCGATTGTTTGCCGTGGCGGTCTACGAAGACCGGGTCGCAAGGAGGGCGACCTAAGCAACAACTACCGATGAAGTCACGCACGCAGTCACACGCAAATAAAGCAACAAAAGCTGCTGTTCCTGGTCACAGCGAAGCACGTGGAACTACATGGTGGGACCCCGTCGTGGAACCTCATCACGGGTCTGTCCCGGTAGGCGAGTTCCTCCAAAATATTCCCTGCACTCGGCACGCCACATCAAGTATAACCCTCTGGCTTTGTCTGTGATTACTCATCACGTGTCAAATATTTCAGTCAACCGGTGAGAAATTAAGCCCTTTGGGACACGTGCGTGGGTGTTCAATCTGACGCAGGGCTCAATGCTCTGCTCAACGCGCTGTATTGTAATCGCACGCTTTCAACTATTCATTTTATATGAGTGCATAATGGTTGAAGCTACGGTTATAGAGATAACAAGAGACATTTTATTTTCGTTTTGTTTGGCTGCATCATTCTCCTCCCACTCTTCCCTTCATTTCGCTTCCCCGTGAATCTGCTGCTCCCGATTGCCGTTCCTACTGCGGCAGGGGTCATGGACCCAAATGTTCTTAACTGATCTCCGTTTGTAGGAGTTTTGTTTTCGCTACGCGCGCAAGAATTGTGTTACGTTTGTTTTTGTGTTTTTTTTACCTAAAAAAATATATATATTAACACGTATCAAACATATGAAGGCATGTTAATACGTGCTATTCAAATACGGTGTGGGCACTTCCAGAGGATAGGCAATCACAAAGTCAAATGTGCAATAATAATGTATAGAGGATGTTATTTTGCGGGTAACGTCACTTAGGGGTTCACATTTAATAATTGGTTATGGACGTTACGCTGATATGGACATTTCAACGGACCCAACAATCAATTATGAATCTTGATTTTGGTCCTGAAAGCCTACCCGTTATGTATGTATGTTGAACGTCTTTCGCACCGTACATAGCCAGCCGAACTAATCGGAATTGCGGGGAAACTAAACAGAGTTCTAAATAAATAATCAGTTATTCAAAAATGTAAGTCATGCCAAGATGACATTGTTAATGTCTTAGTCTGGTAAACAGGACCATGATGGGGATGGGACGAGGGAGCCCTCATCCAGCAGTGGATCGACAGTGGCCGATGGATCATGATGAGATAAATTATTTATATTGGGTTTCCAGTTTGCATGTTTTCAACCTGAGTTGTACCACCATCGTGTATGTTCCTGGCTGGTGAGAGTGAATACTGAGACACAAGGCCGTAATTATAATATATATTGGGGGGGGGGGGGGGGAACATGAACGGGGACAAACCCCCCCCCCCCCATATTTAAATATGCTCAAAATGTCCCCCCAATATATCGCTATAAAAAAATTGCTATGCTATGTTAATAAAAACAACAATTTGTTAAACCTTGGCCACAATATCTGGACTTGTCTTCATATATATCAATGCATAGATTTCTGTTTATATGATTGTGGTTATGGTTGTACTTTATTAATCCCTAAACTCTGCCATTACATACAATAAAACAAGAAATGGTAAAAAAAAAGTAAAAACAGAGCAATGTAATACAATACACTATTAGACATTATTGTAAAAAAATAAATGAAAAGTCCATCCCATGTGTATATGAATGTTTTAATATTTTAGGCAGGAAATGAGTTTTCAAATTTAGATCTTTTTCTGGGTTGGTATCCCCAGACACCCTGTAAGATTTGGTCCCCCCAATGTTGACTCCATAGCTACGGCCTCGCTGTGACAACCTTCCCATTTAACACGCGCAATACCCTGCGCGTCTGCAGTGGCGTATCTAGGGAGTGCACAGGTGGCACAACTGCACTGGAGGGGCCTAAATACTGGGTTACCAAGGAGGAGATGAAATTAGACAGGGGGCCGCATGCAATCCCTGTGGCCCATGCCACCAGCCACGCTGCGGCCACCCACCCACACTGCGTATTTGGTTGTATAAAACACCTTAACGTGAACTTCACAGTCATCGTCAATATCATTGGCATTCAGCATTATTTGGCACCTCCGATTAGCACGGTTGGCCACGTACCGTGCGAAAGGTCAGCATACATAACGCACATCGGCCACTGGTCTCCCCATGTCGTCGCCATCCCTAGCGATCCAGTGCTGCTAGAAATCCATCTCACTCCTGGACATGAACGGATCTCATCACTACATTTATGCATTCGTTTTGTCATTCCAATCACAATAATCACTTTGGCCAGATCGCGTAAGAAAAATGTGTGTCACATGTCCTCCTCCACACAACCACAGCCGATGAATAAAGTTGTCACGCGATGAACAAACGTGCCCATTACTGCTTCAGCACACCGGGTGTGTTGGAAGAGAAATCCACACCATGTAACAGTCGTATTTATCACAGAGCTCTACGATAAGGAATAATAATTACAGTACCACATTTTACAGAGCATAATCCGGGGATACATTTCTCATGGAATTACGTCCGGAGCTCAGCCCACGGGAACAGCTGCGTTGGAAATTAATCCTTTCGCATAATATAGTTTCATAGTATAATAGATGTGAATATTTATACCAAAATATATTTTTAACGCGCGTCACGTAAATCTTAAAATTACAAAAACACATTTTTTTTATGTGTATATGCGAAAACTGCCAACAACCGCCCTCACCGCTCTTCCCAGCTCGCGGCCACGGCGTGACCCTTACCGGGGACTCCGCGTGGCTGGGCTCGCTCATGGCGAGGGGCACAGGGCCCCCCGGGCTCAGGGGCTCGTTCTCTTTCTCGCGCAGAGCGCTCATGTCGGTGGTGCAGGCGAGGAGACACCGTCGGTTGATGATGCTGCCGATGCCCCCCCCACCACCCGCTGTTGCTGTTCTTCCGTCTACCTCCTCTTTCTCCTCCTCCACCTCGTCTCTGTTCCTCCGTTGCCCTCCTCGCCTCTCTTCAACGCGCGCGGTAGCTGCTTAAAATGCCGTTGGCATGCGTGTTATGTAAATGAATTGTCCATACACACACCACAAAGGTTCCCGTACAGTCTTTAACAAACTGTTGGAGCAAAGTGTTGTTAGCGAGCACCTATTATAGTCCGGTAAGGCGCACGAGGAGATGCTGTGGTGTGACCACCACCACCACCACCACGTCCAGCCGCCTTTGTCTCCCCGCTTGTGCTTATGCTTACATACCGCAACAGGCGCTCGTGTATTAAGGCTGAGTCGATCTAGTCGAAGTCGCAGCAACAGGTCCCGATATCAGCCGCCAGTAGTCGTAGCCAGGCATCGAACTCGGGTCGCCGCTCAGTGCACGCTTCAGCCGACCAGCGCGCTCCGCCAGACGCGCTCGCACATTGGCAACGAGGTGATCCGGAATAACTTGTTGGGTGGAAATCCCAGGAGGCTGTCAGTTTGAGAAGCGGCGGAGCGCGGCGTGGAACGACCGGCGGGTGGAGGATTAGGGTGAGGATGAGCAAGAATGAGGAGGGTGAGGAGGGATGCCGAGCCAGGAACAGAGCGTGAATACAGATCGTGCTCCTTGAGCAGAGTGTTGGCAGCTGGGACGAGACGCTTATTTTTTTACAGTCCTCACTTCGGAATCCGCTTGTGCTTTATATGTGCGTGTCTCCCTATCCCACTGTCGCACCTCCTCCCCTCCACCCTACCCCGTTCTCCTCTTTATCACCCCCCTCCTCTTCGCCATCCCTACTCGCCATGCACAAAAGAATCCGCCTTCTCCACGTCCCCCCCCGTCTCCGCTGCTCCACGCAAGCGCAACCCGCGTGTGCGCGCAACACATCGTGGTATTTAATGTGTTTGGGAGAGTGGTGGCGCAGCGCTTAGCGCACTGCGCCACCGCTCCCGAGTGACCTTACGTTCGATTCACGGTCACGTTGTAACATTAGTGGCAACGCTGTATAAGACGAGTGGCGAATTTGTTTAATTATTTGCAAGTGGTGTGCCCTGGGTCTCCCCTTGGTCGACTCGGACTTAAATGGGTACCTAATGGGGTGTGGACATCGGTACAGCACGAGGCGAACAAAGGCGACCAGGAGTGGTGCTGGCCCACTCTACCTTGTCGTATGCCATGCCTATTGGGGGAGGGGGGGGGGGTGTTTTTATATATACAACTTATGTGCATATGCAAACGTGATTATATAACATAGTTATAAATAATCTCATCGTCATCCCGATCCATGTACAGATAGCCCCACACGTGTCCACTGCACGTTTCGTCATTTGTTTCCACTCTCCTCCTGTCTTGTGCCAATATGCTCAAGTCGTGACACGTTTTGTTCTGGCACCAATCTCATAAGTGTCGTCGTCGTCGTCAAGTCATTCTCTCTTAGGTCTTCCTCTCTTTCCAGTTCCTTTCATTTTTCCGAACAACGCCACTTTTAAATTTCCCTGTTGTCCATCTTACATGTGTGTCTAAATAGTGCCAGTTTCCTTCTCATCACTGTCTGCATCATCACGTGCAACCTTCTTCTTATTTCCACGTTGATCACCCTTTGGGTCCAGTTTAGATCCAGTACCCTTCTGTAGCAATACATTTCGAATGCCAATATCTTGTTTCTGTCAGTCTTTTTCAATGTCCAAGTCTCGCAGGCATACAAAACTGTCCTGAACACGCATGTTATAAATAATATACGGCATATATAATATTTAACCATGTTATATAAATATATTACCATGTTTTATTGATGAAATATAATATAATATAGTAATACTTATAATCATACCCTCGTGAAATGGCAATTTACGTACCGATGAAAAAAGTATAAAGTTTAAAGTTAGTCTCATTTGCAAGAGTGACCCGGGGAATTAGTCTGCCAGTAGGTGGCGATGATTGTAGCTGTGTGTGCACGTCCCAATTGACGAATTTGCGGTGTAATTTTCGACTCTACAAATCTGGACTCTGACGTCAGCATCCAATGGCCTAACTCTTGCGAATGACAACAGAGGAGGTATTTAACGTCATGCGTGGCGCGTCTTATTAAGGCTATTGCACCCGTAGTAATAACTAGTCAGGGCGGCTGCTGGATTCGAACCGCGCGACCGCTGGGCCATACCGCTGCACACCTGCAATGTGTCCTGCAACTTTGCGTAAACTAAGCTGGACAATATTTGTAAATGGATGTATTTCACCGATGGCTATGCTCTTTGTGAGGCACGAGTCGCAACCCTTGCGGGGATAAACAAATCGTACTTAAGATGTCATCGTCAATGGAACATCGTCATCAACGTCGTCAGCCACGATCAACCCACTGCTGGATGAAGGCCTCCCAAAAGCCGGCAACCATCTATCACGGCGCTACGATGTAGAACGATCCACACGTAGCTTCCTGCACACGGGCTGAAACCCCATGAACTGACAAAACAATCTTCTTGGTTCTTTCGGTAAAGTCACGTAGAAGGGAAGTAATACAATAATAAAAATAAAACATAATACAATAATATAAAATATTTGTATATTATTTTATTACTTTCCTTCTACGTGACTTTACCGAAAGAACCAAGAAGATGAATCCCTGCAGTCACGAAAGCTTTAAATTGACAAAACAATGGCAAGATGCGCATATAACGGGAATGCGCTTTGCATATTTGATACTCGTAACCGGTAGAGGGCAGTGCCAGTTGTTCTTTAGCTTCAGTGTCACACTCAACGGGAGTCAGATTGACTTGGTTCACCGATGCAGGGCATCGTCAGCTGCCCCTGCCCCGTGAGTGGAGGACCAAGACCGTGGGCTGCCATTTCTGGGGCCCAAATTCGAAGAAGAGAATATATTTTGTGGAAGTTAAGAGTTGTCAGAATATTATTTGTAGACCGACAACAGTGGCCTTTGCTAATTTTCATAGCGGTGGTGGTGGGGTCGGACTTTTGACACATTTGAAACCATCGGGGGTTTGACAGCACGATGATGATGGTGGGGGGGGGGGGGGGTGTTTTCACGCGTTGTGTATTGTCGGGGGCCGCATGCCAGGGGCCGCACTAAAGGCCACCAGGGTCAGTCAGTGGCCTTTGGGGCCTTGCAATGAAGAACACGGGCATATAACATCATCGCAATGAACGCACTGTCATTCACGATCGTTTGTACGTGAGTAAATTGATCATAATCGGCCAATTTGCCAATGTCTTTCTGCCTGAAGGCCTCCTCCTTCTCACGCCGTGTCGGTTCACGTGGGGCTATTAGACCTTCACCACGCTGATTGGCGAGTGTCAGTAGTGGAATGTGAAATGAAGGGGAGCCATTCCACGAAGAGTCACCAAGTATATGTGTATTTTTTTTCTATGAAGAAAAGCCATTGCCAGAAACGTCAACTCATATACAGGGCGCTTCAAAAAAACGTGAACACTTCCGAGAATTTGCAACGATACCACAAGAAATGTGCCTCCGAGCTCTGGAGACCACCTGGAGAAGATCCCAGGCGCGCGTTGACAATGATGGCGAACAAGTGGAGACTCCTATTCTTGGTTCTTTCGGTAAAGTCACGTAGAAGGGAAATAATACAATAATACAACATAATAAAATAATTCTCACGACGTTTCGGCCACAACGCAAGCAGCCGTCCTCAGGTGAAGACCTGAGGACGCTGTCTCCCCGACAGACCTGGTCTTCACCTGAGGACGGCTGCTTGCGTTGTGGCCAAAACGTCGTGAGAATAATTTTATTGGTTTATTTTTTTATTATTTCCCTTCTACGTGACTCCCTGCAGTCACGAAAGCTTTAAATCGAAATTTAAGTGGAGACTCTTTGACTTTTTGAAGCCATTAACATCCATTTGTTATCATGCTACAGTGTATTATCCGTTCTTTTTCCCTAAAAAAAATAGTCTCATATAAGTGTTAACGTTTTTTTGAAGCACGCTGTATTTGTTTTCCTTTTAAGGTGTGATTGACGACTACGTCGCGTTCAATGTTAGTTGTGCTTGGGCACCACTACGACGCAGCGGTATCGTCAAACAATGTTTAATATCTCGGTCGGTCGGCGAGTGGGGTGGGGGGGTACTGGGAGGGTGGACGCGTTCCGTGGTGTTTAATGAGATGCGCATTGAGGTGGATCATTGGTTACTACATCACAGGGTCGCGAGAGATGACGGCGGCTTGGGGGAAGCCTTTATCCAGCAGTGGATTGATGATGGCTGCTGCTGTTGGTGGTGTTTGGTGGTGCACGAGAGATGTAGAAATGCGGGTTCCTCAACAGGGAAACACCGCGTGTGTCCGTCTAACACGTAGGCTTTCGCGACCAATATTATTCATAATAAAGATTTTTGGGTTACATCGCTTAAGTATAAATGTGTCGTAACACTCCACCACCCGACACAGCCAATTAGTAAGGGATTTGTCACGTAAACGAAACGCCAATTAGTTACTACTTATAGAGGAAACACATACTAATTAACTGATTACTAATGTATTGGATAATTACAATACCCCTCCTCCGCCTCTGATCTCTGCACCTGATGGGTTCGGTGATGACGTCATCTGGCTCTATTTAAGACCAGAAGCAGGTGGCTGGCTTCACTATTCTGGAAAATCGCCCGATGATGCTGGATGTAATTACCAACGAAACGTCGTACTACTCAAATTGTAAATGTTGTGGATTTACTCTCCAACACGCACGCGCGCGCGTGTGTAAATGTCTTTTAGATAAATCGATTTACTGATTGCTCGATGAAACGAAAATATAATTCAAACTAACACCGTTGACAATGGTCTTCATAAAATATGTACAACAATGTATACTTGTTACCAGCATAAATTAGGCTTCAAAGCCTAATTGAAAACTCAAAGGACAAACAAGACATCTAATAACGCTTCAGTATGCACAGTGTTAGTATTCAGACAGTCCTTTGTCAATCCACTGCTGAATAATGTGCCGTGCCGTGTCGGGGTCGTTTGACCATACTTCCCCACCTCAGTGTGGGTTGGTGAAAGGGGAGAGGGATTAATAACGCTCGCCACTGATGTTAGCCGTGGCCAGGAATCGAACTCGACATTGCCGCGTTTTACAGGCGAATTGCAAGAACCACTTCACCACCGCTCCTGCGATGACTCTTTACCAAAGGTCGCAGGCAAGGCCCTCCTGGTATCGTCTGGAGGGAGACGCAGTGAGGCTTTACTCGGTAAGTAAACGATTGCGGTGACTGTATTCATGGCCGAGTGCCCCCCCTCCCCACGACTCCCCATTTGTAGGCCACAAAACGACTCGAGTCCCGCGTGGCACCGCTTACAGTCCCACTCCGTCTCATAAACACATTTATAAAACTCTACTTTTACGCGGGAACATGCCCCGCGGTATGAGCGCATGCACATAAACAGATCCTCATCTACAGATGTGCATTCGCTACAGATCTACAGATGTACATTGGCCGGACAGAGACCCTAACGAGGTGGTCCATCTGCGAAGGAAACGATTCTATAAGGAGCCAGGTAGCTGCCCATCGGCCCACGCAAAGCAATGCAAAGTTCAGATGAGAAATTCAGACCAAGCAGCTGTGAGGGAGACCAATATCAATTGGCCTGACTTACAGAGGCATATATGTAGACGGTGATCCATTTATAGCTACTGTAAGAAATTAATTTGGAACATATATAGAAAAAAATACATTTATTTCAAAGCCTCTACGCATCTCATACATATCTCAGTGTGCGTATTCACACATTTTCACGCCCTCCTCTGCACGAAATTGAGCCATCGCTTTCACAAAACTCGAGCACATGTTGAGAAAAAATTAAGGCCATTAGAACCTGATGGGGTATCTGTAAATGGATCGCCATGCTTGCTCACTCTCTTGTTGGCAGAATGGCCTCGACACTAGATGAAGCTCTCTAGAGCCCCATAGGAAGGTGCTTTGGCCTACTCTTCCACTGCAGGCCAGGCATCTTTAAAGAGGAGTTGAGTACACACAATTGACCTGCAGTTCGTCTGTGGTGTACCCATTTATACTGCCGAGTTGGATAGACGGTGGTGTGGAGGGGAGCTGTATCAATACAAAGGTTCCCAATGTTTCAGCTGCCGTACCGGGAGAGGGAATCGAATCGGCGTCCTCTGGCTTGCAAGTCCAGTGAGCCGCTCTGGCAAAATCCTGATTTACGGAGTCGGCACCTATTCTACTCCGTTTTTGTACGCGTCATCCGTGAGATATGGATCAGATCATTCAATAACCCGTGATGCCACAATCCTAAATATTACACAGAAATGTGAAACTGATGATAGAAGGGTTTGTCATAATCGATAGCTCACGGAGAGGAACTTGATTAGCAGTTTGGTCTCTTGCTCGGATAAGTGATGCTGATTTGAGTGATGTGGTTATCGATCCGACCGTGTCCATCCAGTGCTAGCCGAGCTGTACCAGCTTAGTTGCCGAACGAATACATTGAGGTCGCACTCATTACCACACACACACACACAAGTGCTTGACACTAATGAATCACGATAGCCTGTTGATCTCGTCAATGATTGTAAACCATCACGTGAACTCCGGTCATCCTCGCTGTAGCGGCTTTTAGCGAACCATGGAACAAAGACGGCGGCCACTGTATCGCGTGGCGCTTTCAGATGCGCTTCTGCGGACGTCTGGAACGGCTCTTCCTTCCTGATAATGGGAAGCCACTGGTGCTATGCACTTTTAAATCTATGTTGAAAATTCATTTATTAGAACTGCTTTTTGTTGTTTAGTTTGTTGTCCTTCTCCCGCCCCTCCGATTAGCACGGTTGGCCACGTACGGTACGAGAGAAGTTCAACATGCATACATATACATTGTATATATGCCTCCTTAATGCATGCAGCCCCCCCCCCCCTCCACACGGGAGCACGGACTGTGGTGTTGTGGCACCGCTGTAATCCGGCGCCTAATTGGAATGCGCAGCGAGTCGCCCGCACTGTGCATGGCAGATGCTCTGGCGCTCGCCCGGGATGATTGTTCTACACAACACAAACGATATCTCTCCCGTGACATGTGCGCAGTACGTTTTATTTCTCGCCCTGAACACATGAAGGCGTCAGCTAAATCCTGATTTACGGAGTCGGCACCTATTCTACTCCGTTTTTGTACGCGTTATCCGTGAGATATGGATCAGATCATTCAATAACCCGTGATGCCACAATCCTAAATATTACAGAAATGTGAAACTGATGATAGAAGGGTTTGTCATAATCAACAGCTCATGGAGAGGAACTTGATTAGCAGTTTGGTCTCTTGCTCGGATAAGTGATGCCTATTTGAACTATATGGTTTAGAGAAATACATATCTAAACGGATGAAAGAAATGCCTTTAGAAAATGTTCCCATCTCAAGGCCATGACATGTATGCCCCGATTTTTTTTATTTCATAACAATGCTGGGTGGCCTTCATCTAACAGCCCATTGGCAGAGCTCTACATTTGTGTGACGATCTTTTGTTTGATTTATAAATGTATTGGAGAAGCGGTTCGTGCACTGCGCTCTGAACCCGACAACATCACTGGGCAGTGACATCCGAAACGGGTTTTACCCCACCCGCCACCACCCCCTTTTACCAACCCGTTCTGAACATCGCGGTGAAGTATGGTCAAACGAACCCACCATAACCGAGTGTGGGGAGGCTTTCATCCAGCAGTGGATTGACAAAGCAAATGCTATTATTCTACAATTAAATGATGGATAATGTATCGGTTTCGTGGAATTGGAGGGATTTCCAGGCACCCGTACCGCAATCGAAAACCAGGAGAGAAAACGTCAGCACGTGAAATGGTCACAAGGGGGCGGCCAAAGAGTCGGAACTTGAACCAGGGGAAGAACATCGCCTCTCGAAGTCGAGGCAATGGATTCATTTTCAGATGGACCTCCCCTATACTTGGCGGTGAAGTCTGAACGGGAAGACATTCGTCAGACAGTAGCCTGGTGGTGGCTAATAATGGCTTAGTAATGCAGTGACCGATTGACCAGTGTAAATAACAAAACAATCTGAAGGTCTAGAAAGGTGATGTGGCACATATGCTCAATACTCTATTTGTAAATCAAAAAAAACACTTTAGAATTTGGGCCCTTTTAAAAAGATGCCCTCCCCCCTAAAAAAGGTTAGTCTTGAAATTGATTGCTTTTCCGCATAGGGCAGGATTAGCCTAAATTTCGAAATTTAGGCTAATCCTGCCCTGATCCTGTCCAAGTAGCCCCGTGAAAAACACTTACAAATATACACCAACCCCGCCTTCAGTTAGCCAAGTAATCTTGCTCCCGTTGAGTGTGGCGACGCCAAAGCTGACTGAAAGTAGACAAAACCCGCTGCTTATTACTCGCATGGTAATACAAGCAGAATTGGTTGATCGGCATGAAATACACACGCGACAGTACAGCAAGTAGGACAATAGCAGGCTACCCGTAGCATGTGGTGGTCATTCCCTTTAATAATACGAGCAGAAACATTGAATCGGACATGTCGGTTTTTTAATTTTTATTCCATTGTATAATTTAAGTTTGGTTGTAATAGCAATTAAATACTGTACAAACAAACGACACCGTTGACTAAGGAGTGAAATGAAAACAGCTACAAGCTCTCACAACGCACGTCAGCTCTATACACGACTCGCAATATACAATATACATCAGCAAAAAGGGAGAAAGAACATAACCCACGTCCCCAGTAGCGAACAAACTCGATACAAGTTAATAGAAAACGCGACTATAGTATATGGCCAGATTTTTCAAACACCTTCAACAGTGATAGGATATTTTAAAGTGCGATATAATATACTGTTTTTTTTCTCGAAAAACGAAAACAATCATTGAAATAAAAAAAACTGCTGAAAAATAAATAACTTGTAACAACCGCTCTATGGTGTATTACAATTGTGTTTGAATGTGGCCCTTATTTTTGAATGTCCAAGACTCAAAAGCTCACGTAGATGTCCGAATAAAGAGCTATTCATGCCCGACACAAAGTCCATGCCATAACTAAACCCCAAACCTTCTACCAGACCTATTGGAACATAAAGCTCTCGCTCTGTTTACACATCTGCGGTGTGCATGATTGAGTGGTGTGCGTACATTATTTAACCAGGCCGAAACCCACCGATGTTATTTATTTCGTGCCGTATTCTTGAAGCTGTCTTCTTGAATCATGAAGACCTGTACACAACTCTCTTGCCAGGTCTTGGTAATGCCGGCCGAGACAAGGTACGTATGGGTTTGAAAAAATTACACTTGCCGAAACGTGTATCAAAAGGGCCACACCAAAGAAAAATATTTATAATCTTGCCGTGTCAGTGACTATTTAGTGTACAGCCGGAACAACTGCACCACCAGGGCCTATAGGCCAGAAAGACCCAGGCACCGAGTGATGGAGACTGGTCAAATTAGACATTGGACCAGGACCCATGCCAACCACGTAACACCACTGCGCTGTCAGTACAGCATATCTAATGGACACAATGGATGCAAACGGGAGAGAGCTCATGTCCATTCGAGGTCTTGAGGCATGAGGGGGAATTTGGAGCTCTGACGATTCTTGCAGCTATGCAGTCGTTGTATAGGTTCATCTTTTCTCGTCAACTCAGACAATATGACGGAGCCCTATGCGCCGTGGTTCACATTGTTAGGTGTGAACCCACTGTCCGATGGTTAGAGCGAGCAAAGGGCACGATCCGTCAAGGTGTATTGACTAATGCAACAAACAAGAGAATGGTTTGTGCTGCAGGCTGGGCATGTGAAGGATTGAAGCCAAAGGCAGAAAGGTCTATTGGTTGCCCCACATACCGAGAGATACATATGGGGCCTTGCATCTTTGAAGTGTACTATGCAGCTATACACTTGGACGGAAGCTACAAACCACACCCTTCCTCCATCTCACTCAACTATATTAGCTGCACGTTTTCATAAAAGAACAAAAAGTGAACAGAAAATAATTTCACCTGTACACTTATGTGTAGCATTAAATGTGGCACAATTGAATGTCAAAAAGCAGGGTGTGGTCATTTGTCCTGCACTCAAATGGTGCTGAATTTTCTCAATTTACAGAGCAGTCGATGGAAAGGAATAAAAAACGAAATCCTTGTAAAAAAACACAAAAAATACCCACTGTTCATGACACAGCCAAGAATTACATCATCTAAAACTGGAAATTCACTCTAAAACATAACACCAAGCAATCAAGTAATGACACTGGCGAGGAGTTTATTCAAAATGGGCTGGATGTCCCATTTTTTTTTGTTTCCTGTACAGGGAAGGAAGGGAGGCGGGGGGGGTCTCACAAAAACTCACAAATGCAGAGTAAAGCATTAATTCCCAACTAGTCAACCATTTTATGTACGTGTTTTTTTTTTTGTCTTCTTAAAAATCAACAGCACTGCATAAACATCACCCGTCAACCGTCAAAACATTTCAACATTGTGCACAGTACATTGGTGTATAAGCGTATATGTTGATGTCCCGGTGTGTTGTCTTGCACTTTGCTGCTCGCTGCAAGACTGCGCTGGAGTGCTTTGGACACTCGCGGTATATGCAAGGTGACGGTCACACCTGCCAGGTCCGTGAGCCTCGCGGATATGTCAATTGTTTTTTTTTACCTGCAGCCAAAAGGGCAGCATGGAAGCACCATGGAAGGGTCTAATTTCACAGACCCGTCTTATCTGTATTTGCCAGGAGTCGCCACGGCACGGTGGCTTGCCTTGACCTTATCAATACCCTAGCCCCCATAAACCATTTTCGAGAAATGCAATACTTTTTTAGTTGGATTTTCGGTGTCATGTGCTTGAATGGGGAGCATTATAATGGAAATGCCTTTTATACGCTGTACTAAAGTACTTTAATGTACATGCTGTAAGCATATTTCTCCAGGATAAAAGATTCTAATTCTGAAATATTTGAAATTTGAAGGGATGTTTTAGTGTATGTGCCAAAAGTAATTCTGCCACAGAGGGTGACAAAAATTCTGATGCATCAACTGCAGAGCAGTGGTCAAGGAATATGCTTACCAACTTGTGTGTTCCCATTTAGAGCAAGGGATGACAGATCATTTCAAAGGTGAATGGGTGGCATGGGGACACTTGAACCTTCAATTTATTTCTAAATTAGAGCCAGCTGCACAGTACTTCTGGTGCAAATGACAACTAAAGCACTGGGAATGGAAAGCTATTGTGTTGATAGGTGACTTCACTGGGTGTTCTTAACACTTTCATCAACACAGGTTTATGAAATGTCGCTTAAACACAATTGACAAATTACAGACACTTTTTAATTAACGAAATCGAATTTCTGCGTGAACTAAATTCTAAATGGCACACGCGATGAGTTCAAATAAGAACCACGTGGGAGGCTACGTCACCCACCCACGACAGCGTCACGGCATCCCACAGTGCAATAGCAACGCATCCACATCACCTTTCCCGTCGCTCCAACATGCTGATATTTTGGCGAGTTCCCTGCAAATTTTAATTATTTTTGTTTAAAATTATTAAAAAAATAATAATAATATTCGTGGCCGTTATTATTATTTTTGTATTGTAAAAAGTGATACAGGTTGTGTGTATTCTTTAGGCGAGGAGTAGAATTTGAATGACTGTCCGAAACACAGTCCTAAATTTTTTAATGAAATTAATGGGAAAAGCCATTCCAAATTCCAAAATTTAGTTTTTCGTGTTTTTGGAAGAACGTGTCCCTTTTGTAAATCTAGGGATACCTGTATTTATATATATTTTATCCCGATATGAAATTATCACCTTTCAATGCTACACAATTACAAAAATAGTGTTTTAGAAATATTGAGCAATGTTGTTTGAGTGTGATATGACTGGTTGATGAATATAATTACTATCAGAGAGGAGTGACAGTTGGATTTCAAAGAAACAAATTTGATAATCATTTGGAGTCATTAGTCATTTGCATGGGGAGGACAAATGAAGAGAACGGAGGCCGTTACCCAGCAGTGGATTGATCATGACCGACGATGATGAAATCATAATTGTAAAGCAGCAGCATGGACCTAAACAGCTCCTCCACGTGCGTGACGAAAGGTAGCAGCAGAGAAACGTGAGTTTGTGAATTTGAGAAGACTGTGCCATGTGCAACCCAAGCAAGGCTGAGTTGACGCACACTGCATGCTCATGAGTTGGACGCAAATCAGATGGCACGTGCGGAGTAAACCGCGGCGCACGGCCGGGAGACACCTCGCTCCGTTACCGCTTGCTGCTGTTGTGACACGGCAGTCACAGTCCAACGCACACGTTCCAGGAAATCCCGACTAATGAGGGAAACTGCTGGCGCACGAGATGCAGCGGCAGCAGCTAAATCAGGTGCGGCTGAATAGCAGAGCGCCCCAGCCCTCGTCCTCCATTCCGGGGGATGGGTGTAGCGTGTATGCGGCGTCAGCGAGATTTATTCAAATATTTAAACCTTCACGTTTGCAGGTATTGCGGGAGAAAGTGTGCGCGTTCGTTGGCAGTGGATGGGTAGTTTTAAATAAAAACTTTGAGGGGGGCAGGCAAAATTAGCTTGTCACAACAGGTGCTTGTATCAAATGTTTACGGCTAAATCTTTGCGAGGTGAAAGAGAGAATAAAAAGAGCAATATAACTAGTGACGGCCTTGAGGATGGCTCATTTGTAGCCTAGAAGCAATGCATCTTAAAGTTGCCAAGGGAAATGATCTGATTAGCCAGAAAGCCAAGGCAGGAGGATGAAGGCAGATATGGGTATTACCACACGGGGGCTTTATCACCGACTGCTCTGTGCTCTATTGAATGTGGAAACGAGCTTGTGTGTGTGGAAATGGAAAAATTCTCAGCCCAACGCGTTAAAAAGAATAACGTTGACTTTTATGCACACATTGTGTATAGCTTCAAATATTTATCGTGCCAAAGCACCTTCAATGTGATTTTGCCCAGCTATGATTGGAGAGCGGCAATGTGGCTGCGTCGGTAGAAAATCTCCAGAGAATAATCTTCGTGACAAAAAAAAATCTAGCTCGCTGGAGGAATGCAGACCGTTTCTGAAACCCAATTTGTCCATAACAACAATACTAGATGAAATCTGTCAAATTTTTTTTTTATATGCATGTGCTTTTGCTACAAAAACATAGACAGTCAGCTTCTATCAGACAAAAATAAATAAGCGAGCTTTGTCACTTCAAGATTATACATATCCAGGAGACAAAGATTGTTTCTTTATTTCCAGACGATCTTTTTTAATGGATGAACCCTCAAAGAGAGAAGGTAATCTACCCAAGTCACACTTGACAGCGCAAGTGTGTTGGTGTTTCTCGGTGTGCGCCCCGGTGCAATTATATGAGCAAGGCCCAAGTCTGGGCCATTGAATTTTCTTTAACTGCACCCATTTCACCAGATTCTCCCTTCCCCTCTTCCACACGACCTTCAACCCAAACCCCACCTCCCCTCCTCTCCTCCGCTAGTGAGAGCTCGCCCTCTCCAGCGTGTGCGCCTCATACCGGCGTCGAATAGGTCTCAGGCGGAACCCGCTGCCGGTGCCATGCCCGAGCTTGGCCAGGGCAGACTGTGCCAGCTGCCGGGTGGGGAACACCGCCACCACCTTGTAGTGGGAGGCCAAGTCTTGCCGCAGCGCTGATGAACCATTGCCACGCTCCGAGGCTGGGTTGGGGAAGGCGGCGCCACTGCCGCCGTCGCACTCTGGGAGTCCTCGGGGGTTTGTACCCACGGTGGGGCTGAAGTCCCTGAGTTGTGTTTTCGCTTCCGCGTGACCACCGTCCGATGGGCAGCTCACCTCCAAGTGGGCTTTGGGTCCGGAGGCCACATCGATCCGTGATGTCGCCACCACCGGTATCTCTCGTCGCACATCCCAGTGCGACTTCTGCTCCCCATTAGATCCCGGGGTGTGCTTCTCAGTGTCTACAGTGGAGCCGAGCTTGGCGTTGTACCTGCCTGCGCTGCAGCCTGCCAAGGAGGAGGCCGCAGCGGCCTGACCCTGCTCCATTCTGGCGTCTTGCAGCCAGTGGATCTCGCCACCCGCCGCCGCCAGCTTGCCCAGGAGAGCGTCCGCCTCCACGCGGGAGATGCCGTGGGGCAGATCCAGCACCTCCAGCGTGGCACTCGCAGGAGGAATTAGGTCCGGCCGAGGGTAGCCCCGGTCCCCGGGACTGCACATGTCCGATACTGCACCTTGCGTGGGGGGGGTGACAGGTGGCCAGGTTTTGGTAAAACAGTGGTTTTAGCCACTGGAGATTCTGTACTGAGTACTGTAGAGGTGTAAGGAGTTAATTTTAATTGAAGTGTAATGGTTGGCAGCTGATTGTTCAAAGTTCTAGAATTTCACATCACCTTGCTCGACCGAGCTGGTGTCCTCGGACAGCGCTTTGCGAGGATGTCTCTTTCCTCGCCCTCCGGTTTTCACCTAACAGCGAATGGGAAATCAGGAATAAACCTCCTGTCGTCTTAAAACCAAATTGTTCAGAAACAATCAGACATTTGTGAGCAATCAGGGATTCAAATAGGCTTTTGTCACTTTGAAGCAGATATATGGAAGACCATTTTCTTGACTTCAACAAACAGGTTAATGAGCATTATTTTTTAAAGCAGTAATTACCAAATTCCTTAGAAAACAACTAAATACCACTCGCATCTGTGGGTCAGAGTGCCATCACCCACCTGTTGTAAGGAGACCGCCATATGCGGGTGTGGAGGCTGCAAGCCGCACGTCTGTGGGCCGTACTGCACTGCAGGGCCTGCCAGTGGGTACCTGCCATCCCCTGAACAAATACACATTTCATTAAAACAAGTATATGGATTATATTCACCATCAGCTGTTGCCAACTTGGTATGCCATGATAGATTGACATAACAACAACAACAAAAGCTTGTGTGGGCCACTCACCCTGATTGGGAGCGATGGGACGAGACTGCACGAGGGGCAGAGGTAGAAGTCCTGGACGGATGGAGCCCAGAGCGGCCATGGGACTCGAGTTGGGAGACTGCACCGGGGAAGCCATGGGACTGGAGAGCCGGGGACTGACCTGCTCATAGACACATCCACAGATGCAAACACACAGGTTTATACATGTCTATGGCGGGGAATATACAGCCACCGACTTCATTTAATAATGGGGCGAAGCCACATGAGGCCTACCACATTGAAATAGCCTGCAAATGATATGTACCCATCATTGCAAGCATTTTGGCTGCATTAATCGAGTACTCAAGGGGAATATTTACAGCATGGCAGCATTGTTTTTGTGCGCTCAGTAAAAGTAAACACTACTTATTATGATGGAATAACCCAACTGTGTTGTGTGTTTATGTGCGAGCCCACAAAGGTAATTGAAAGTCCTCTTTGGCCCTCGGGAAGTAAGAGGTTCCTCACCCCTGATATACTCTAACATGCATCACCATACACAAGCTTCCATACGAGCCGCCGTTACCTCGATACAACCCGTCGCATTCATTAGCACCACACTCAAGTGCCTTCAATTCAAAATACCATCCTGCACACAAACATTGATTTTCCGGGGTTACATGCTTAAGGTGTGACAGAGTATGTCTCTATCATTCGGATGGTTATAACATGTGAAAATCCCATCCAGTTTTCATAAGTCTTGTGAAGGCAGGCGTTGATAGGTTTTCGTCAACCATCACTTTCAGATTTTGAGATGCCTGATATAATGCGCATGATATGAAATTCCACTGGGATTAACTGCGAGAGGGGCTCTCTGTATTTCTCTATTAACTCACAAATGTCGATTTAAGAATCAATATATATTGAATTCAGCTCCAATCCTAGGTCCGAACTGAGGACTTATACACGTCTCCATGACCAACAATACAGCCCTTTCAAATGAAAGCCTCTTTTCCACTGGCAAAAGCGAGCCACACCAGGGCCAGCAGGGCTGAGTAAGTGCCAGTTTGTTTTTCCACTGCAGAAGCCACACAATACCGGTGACGTCATGCACAATGAAAGAGTCGAGATGCCTGTAGATGACAAGATTCTGTATGCTCACAGTGTACTCACTGCTCTCACGCCATTAGTCTCGCCCCTGGGCTTGATTGGCCCCGATTCAGAAGTCTTGTGAGTGTACGGCTTTGCAAGGCACATGGCCAGTAGAAATTCATCCGTACCGTGAGGGCCTCCCACTGGCTCAGCTCAGATGTGCTAATGGGAAAAGGGGTACCTATTGTCGCGGTGAGAGGCGGTGTGCGCATATGCCACTCCACCTGGTTGATGCCTTCTGTGCCGCCGTGTTCCGAGGTCCTGGGCAGCCGCTGGTCGAGGCTGAGGCCTCGGCGCTGGCCCCAGCGTGTGGGCGACGCGGCGGTGCGCGGGGGATGAGGGCTGCTGGGCAGGCTCAGCTGCATCACGAACACACCGTGGCCGCTGGGGGACAGGCCTGGCCGGCACCAGGAGACAACCCGAAGATCGAGCGTCAGAAGCTTGACTACAACAACACAGCCGTCTCTTACGCACACGAACAAAGTAAAAAAATGGCTATGATTCGTTACCTATTGTGCAAAACACAACTACAATTGCAGTATAAATTGCTCTGTTGATAGAGCTAAGATTATACAGGGCAACGGTTGTTTGCGTGCTGATGTCATACATGGAAGTGAATTGTGGATTCTCACAAAGGCTGCTTCACAAAGCTTTGGCACATTTGATCAGCGATGCCTGCATAAAATCCTGTGAATTAACTGGCAAATTTAAAGTAGGCAACAAATATGCCAGAAAAAGGGCATAACAAGAGACAGTCAGTCTTATTATAAAGAAGAAGTTTACAATGGCTTGGAGATCTACTGAAAAAACTGGAAAGAGGTTTACACAAAAACGGATGCAATGGAAACCGACACACGGAAGCTGGAAACAGGGCAGACCTAGGGCCATATAGGAAGAGACAGCAGTCGGAGCCGAGGCACAATGTGATCTAACAATGACAGCAGCAGAGAAGGCGGCGAGAGATCAGTGGAGGGAACTCATGTTGACGGCACGTGCGGAAACGCACATAGCAACCTGGTGATGACAATGATGAGCATCTAAATTTAGTTCCCTGCCATGCTTTGCAGGAGGGAGAGATAATGCCAGGAAGAAGGTGAAACACGAGCAAGGAGGGATGCGAGCTGACCTACGTCATTGTCCATATAATTGCATTAACATTGTTAAAATTTGATGATTCACTTGCCGACAACATTCACCGCACAGGAAATGCCTAAGGATAGTAATTAGGGTTGTGACATCGCAGCGCAAATACGTTTTTGTCGCTGTTTTGAGCTGCGTGGCGAGGAAACAATCTTTGTCTGCAGAACAAATTCACAGCTGCACGCTTCATCAGCCACCTTTGATGGGTCTTCAGCATATTAACGAGATCATCAATTGGGACCCATCTGCTGGTTATTAATGAAAGAAAAATACCTCAGCATATTACCATAATTCTTCCTGTATATGTGACCAGTCGGGCCCGGTTATTTACAGTGTTTTCTTGTGAGAGCAATAGTGTTTACATTTTCCAAGACCTAACTTATGCCTACAGCCTTCGGACGGCAAAACATTTTGTTTTTTTTAAGAAACCTGAGGTTTTAGCATGTGAAATCAAGGGCTGCTGCGTATCTGTGATGAAAGCTAAAATAGCCATTCCAAAAATAGTATATGCACGCACTTTCTAAAAATACCCAAACGATTTGGTGCGGGTTGAGTCAGCGGAGCAAAAATAATTTCACATTTGAAGGGGTTAACCCCTAAGCAGTGCCACACTGCTGTGTTCTTTGAAAAATGGATAGGAGTAGAACAGAGTGTTTTGTTCAAAAGCAGATCCCCAAAATAGCAGTGGACCATCAGGGGCAACCACGTTATTCCCACCATTCTGCAATTTTCACCGATTATGTCACTGAAATTATTTGGCCTCTGGTAATATCCTCTCAGGCGAGGCACGAGAGAGCTATTTTCATCTTCAAAAATATGCTAATTTAGCAACTTGGGTCATTGCACAACTCTGGCAGAAGTGAATGCCCTGAGAGGGTCATTTATATATGAACACCACAGCACAAGACACGAGAATATTATTGGAATTAAAAAAGAAAAAATGCATTTGTTTGCAGCTGCAATTAAACTAAACAATAAATTAATTAGCACAGACTAAAATTAAATGGTATTAAAAATTAGGAACAGCCATTTTAATTTAACTTGGCAGCACAAACACAATCTGGGCTGGGATTCATGATTGCCAAATTTATGTTTCCAATTAACCAAGAAGAAAAAAGGGAATGCAACATCAATATCACGTTTAATTGTTCGTATTTCTGCTGCTATGTTTGAATTAATACTGTCTGATTTAACACGTCACACGCTACCCGATTCAAATGTCATTCCTCGATTAGCACCCTCAATGGTCAAGAGACAGCTCAATGCTAAGTGTGAACATGCACATTGTGTGTAGCTGATGGTTAAAACTGTGGCAGTCCGACTGTGATAGATGGTAACGTGGCATGTGCCAATCATTACTCCCATTTCTGGCTGGATGTTATATTAGTAGGATACTTTTTTGATGTAGGATGTCAAGGGAGGTGTCGAGGAAGAGAGTAGCATTGGGCTGAGTGCAGACTGCTGGAAGTAACTTCTGAGTGACAGAACATCGTTAGTGTCCACAGAAAACCGCCAGCTTTGATCACGAGCCAAAATCGAGCTAAATTAAAAAAGCAAAGCGACGATTCAGCTGAAGTAAAAAATCAAAACCAGGACCAACATTATTTAAAGTTGCTCAAGGAAATGTCAAGTTAGCCGGGAGAGCATGCGAGGTCGGGTTATGTCAGCGACGCTCTCAAACGATGACTCTTCCGCACCACCAAAAATACCCACGGGCTGGAGTAAATGGCACTGGGGTCTAATTGCATTCACACTTCTCCTGCCAGGAAGGTGGGATATCGTTACACGGCAGCGGAGCGAATTCTTGGCGGACACAGTTTTAATGAGGGAGGGAGGGAGAGAGGGGAGTGTGGGATGAGGCCAAGATGGGGAATGACCATGGGCCACTCGTGTCACTCAGGATGCAGCATCAGGAATGGATGAAAAAGTTTGTTCTGCTGAAGCCTAGAAATATGCAGGGTATAGCCACTTTTTTTGTCAATCCACAGATGAATGATGATGACCTCCTTACACCGTGCGGAATAATGGAAATTATTTGACCACACTTGACAACGCTGGTCAGTGCAGGATGGTGAAGATAGAGAGCAGAGTGTGGGACCATAGAAGTACAGTACCGTACGGTAATTTATATTGATGTACTGCCCTCTGCTGCCCACGACATAGTGCTGCAGCCCTAAGACAACCTGTTTGTGCATCATCACATTTGAAGGGTAACAAGTAAGAAATGGCCAAATTATCAGCATTTTTTGCAAAAGCGTGAATTCTACCTGCTACCAAAAATAGCATTGTTGACGTACCACAAGCGCTTAAGCACCTGTGTGATTCATACTTAATAAAACGAGAAGCTCATGCATGCTCACAGATCGCGTGCAATATGAATTGCGACATTTAGCATCGCTTATGGTTCGTATCCCCACGCTGTCGCCATTTCTTCCACAGCCCAGCTGGGCGACCATGTCGAGTGGATGAAAACCATAATTAAATAAGCATCTGATATATATCTCTGATATACATATATATCCATGCGTGACAGTCTAATAAAATGGCAATTTCATTTGGGAACACTTGGTTCAACAGAGCTGACGCTTTCAACCAGGACACGGCGAAAGCAATGGTATTTGCTTAATACCACAATGCACACGTAACGTTGGCAAAACAAACGGCAGCGCACCAGGGAGCACACTCATGAAAGGCAATGCAACGTAAGGCTCCTCGTGTAATATCCTTTATAGAACAAGCCGGCGCTCTTCTTTGCACAGGTCCTATGAGATAGCGGTGCTGCATAAAGCGGTGCGTTCCTTAAGGAACGCGCAATGACATTTTGTACAGCTGCCAGCAAAACGTCCCCCCCTCCCCTGGCCGTCCCTGAGCCACATGAATCATGCAAACTCTGTAGTGGAATTTAAGGTCAACAGAGCTTGGGACATTTGACCAATTCCCAAGTCAAAAACGAAGGGCCTGCTATTTTGCCTCTGTCCATAGTTAGTATTTTTCCCATGTGTTTTTCCATTGAATGTTGCAAAGCAAACATGGTGTTTTCTTAAAAAGTCCACGTATTCATTATTAAATAAAGTTTTCAGCAAGGAAGTGTATGTACAGCATTTAAATGATTTCACAGTTCCATCGAATGAAGGTGGCTCTAAGGGACAAAACATTATGAATGAGAGAACAGTACCGTAAAATATCAAATTCCAGCGGATTTATTGTCGTTTACATCAAAGACACTGTTTACCCATGGTCATATGAACAGTGTTGTTTGTAACCCTCGGTGGGGGTGGGCAAACTAGGACTCGTCTCTGCTTACCAAAACCACCTGTGACTTTCCACTCAGCAGGACAAGTCACACATAACACTGACCAAGTAGGAACAAAGGGAACTGAGTCAGCCTTGGTCAGGATTTAAACTCACAATCTCATGCCTGCAGTGCCATTGCTACTCCCCAAGCCGAGTTGTTTGTTGACTGCGCTGCTGTAGCTGTGTGCATATATATATATAGACAAATGTTTACACGTGTTGGGATCACGAGGGTGCAGCTATGTGCGTCTCACCAGTGGCGTAGTGCTGACCCTGTGTGGGCTGTGAACCGGCGGGGGAGGGCGTGCGGAACTGAAGCTGTTCCATGCTGGGCGGGTGCAGGTAACTCACCCCAGAGCCACTGCAGAAGAATCGATCGCAAACCCACAACCATCAGCATAGAGATCGACAGCAGCGATCACTGACCCAAAGCTTGTTCGGGTCGAGCAGCGCTCACGTATTTATTCGATGTTCCGTAACATCAGTGTTTCAATGAGTAAAGAGCTGCGTGTTATCTCTACAGAGAACATTTTTTATCACCAACGTGACAAATAGAATATTTCTCCAAGCAGACACCCTCTGCTACAATGTGCTCATCACATAAGGCCACAACAAGCCTCTTTAGGCAAGCACCTTGTAGCCTCGTGGGTTTGGGAGTTTCACAAATGTACGAGCTCCAAAGTGCTGGATTACAGACGTGCGTGTCAATGTTCGGCTAGTAATGGGCCCAATCCAGACATCTCACTTGCAGGTAGTGAGGTGGCAAAACTTTGGTGGAAGCAGGGCAGTTTAAAAGATATAATTTCAAAGCTTGGATATCCAAGACATGAATTGAAAAATTTATGGCAGAATTAATGTTTTTTAGTCATCAAAAATATTTGGTACCACTCAAGGTTTGCCATCTCGGATGGCAATAAATGTAATAGCAAATCGGAAATTTGATTTCACCTGCAATGTCTTTGATGTATAATGAATGGTAATGGCTCAGTGCATCTAGATATGATATTTATTGAGATGACATTTGATCAAAAAGGCTATAAAAGTTTTCATTTCTTGTATCTTCCCAGTCATTTCTTCCATACATGATTGTGATTTATTTCATGACATCATCACTATGGATGTTAAGGGATAAGCTTGTCAGCAGTTATATTTATTGCGGTGACATTTGATCAAAGAGAATTCGGGTTGTTTAATATTGTATTCCTTGTGTGCATCTTCTATACATTGCAATACATTATTTATTAAATATTTTAATAACAAAGTCATACCACTTTGAATACCATTTGCACTTGTCTTTGCAGTTGTTTAACTTAAAAACAATTAAACATGCAAGTTTCCATAAATAGGTTTAATCAGATAATTATTTGAGCAGTTCAAATATCCCAATATTCTTGATATTTCAGTTATTATAATGTTGACAAATGTCACAATTTATCATCAATTATCAAGGCTAAATTTCAAACTCTATTCAATCAGCCTGCATTACATTTGCATCGATTAAATATGTGGATTATGTACCTTTGTGTCCACAAAGGTTAGGGCAGGCCGCACCGCAGCACAAACCACAAAGTACGATGTAAGCATTTACTATCGTAGTGGCCGAGAGCCAGCAAAAATGACAAGCTGCTCATTTAAACGCCATCCCTCCACTCCGTGCTCTCATTCATTTGAAAGTATTTGCGGGTGTCCTATTAGGGAATGGTTTCTGCTGGTTATTGGTTAGATTACAGTTGCGCATCTGCAACTTGCTGATCTCGTCAAGGAGCATAAACTATCATGCAAACTGCGGTCATCCTCACAGCGGCTTTTGGCTGGCCATCGAACAAAGATGGTTACTGCATCGTGGCGCTTTCAGATGCGCTTCTGCGGCCGTCTAAAACGCTCTTCCTTCCGCTATTAGGAAGCCACTGGAGCTATGCACTTTTAAATCATCGAGATTGAAAAGAATTTCTTTACAACTGCTTTTTGCGTTTAGTTGGTTGTCCTTCCCCCGCACCTCCGATTAGCAGGGTTGGCTATGTACAGTGCGAAAAAAGTTTAACATACATATATGCACGCAAGGGCCCTGCCGACACGCTATGCATGCGTCTAGCACGTGCAACTTACACAAGCGTGCACACGCGGTGCGGAGTGCACGCAAACAACGCACGTTTGCCACATTCACCACGTGACGTGCGGTGGGATTGTGCGAGTCGCGCGTCCACACCTCATGCTGTTCGGAGGTGGCGGCGGAGGCGGTGGGGGCCCCACGTTGCAGTACAGTTGCTGCCCACCCCCCATGAGCACGGGCGGCTGGTACGACTGCTGGGGGGGCGGCGCGGGTGGTGGCGGCGCCTGGGGACCACTCTGGGACATCTGAGAAGAGGAAAGGCGACGCTCCGGGGATGTTAGTCAGATCACATGTACCTGCACATTTGGGGTGGCTCCTGTCCAAATGTGGGCGGTGTCTCATTAAAGAACGGATAAATGTTTGCAATGGGCTTTAGGCTCTGAATAAATATTCAGAATAAAGATAATATATCATCCATACTCGATAATTATAATGGGCTTTGATCGTTCTTTACGCTTGTTAATGGAAAAAACACGTCATAATTGAACTGGTTTCTTTACATTTAGATGCATGGCTCTTTTGAGAAACTGGTCAGTTGCGGGTTGGTGAATTCATTCATCAAAGTTGTGGAAGCATAGAAATACAGGATAACAATGGATTTGATGCACGTCGCCCTGCGAGCCCAATGATAACCTGCTTGTTGATGGTGGCCACCCATCCAAACTATCCAGGCTCAACCATGCTTAGCTTGAGATCTGATGAGATTGGGTACATTCAGAGTAATCTGGCCAAAAGCTTTTGTTCAGTAATATACAGCAATGTAAATAACTGCCCCTTAAAACCATTTGAATGCTTTGAATAAGATGTATCTATGTGATTACATACATTTAATGGTATGAACTGTGATAAACACTGCACAGGCTATATAGAAATGTAACGTGTCCTACTTAAGCAGCAACCATGAGCTGGGTACAAATCGTACTGCTGAAACCAAACTCTGCCATCTGGTGGTTACGAGCGATGTCAGAGCGCTCAGGGAGCAGCAGTCACACAAACAGCACCAAGAAGCTTCTGGTGTCTCCTTACGTGATACGAAGTCATCGGCGTGTACTGCACCATCACGCCCTGCATGGTATTTCCCATCGGCCCCTGGGCCGGACTTCCCACTGTGCCTTGCTGCCCTCCCATCAGCCCCTGGGAGTGGGGTGGCTGAATGGGTCCATAGCTTGGGCCAACAGGCTGATACCCTGCGCACATACACACACACAAAGAAAAAGATCCCTGTATAGGCATACAGACTGTTGGGGCAAGTGTTGTTAGCGAGCACCCTATAAGGCGTGGATGGCGCCAGCACCGTGATTGACCACCTTTGATTCTCCAGTGCTGACGAATAGACATTAGAATACAGACTCATGTAGGATGGAGTCACCCTATGGAAGACCAAGGATAGGTTCAGTGACCACTTGACAATGGTGTCATCCATAATATAGGGTTTTTTTTGGTTAAATTGCGTAAATATATAAATGTGTCATTAAACCCGCCACCACCCGACACAGCCAATTAGTAACGTTTGTCACGTAAACAGAACATGCCAATTTGTTACTAGTACAGCACACCGGTGTGTTGGAGAGCCAAGCCACAACATTTACAATCAGAGTACGACATTTCGGCAGTAATTACAACTAGCTTCATCAGGCGACAGCCAGATTTGTTAAACTGGTGTCAGCCTGCACCAGAAATCATATGCTGGTCGCTACTTTGAAAGCGCATTACATTAACTACTGAACCAACTCTCCACACAATCACACACACAGGAATAAAGAAGAGGGTTTTATATTTGTTTAAGAGGCATTGCAATGATTTAGGGGGGGAAATTCAATTTACCAGAACTTATACGAGAAAATATTAAATAAAACATATTGCTTCATTTATAAATCATATAATTAATTTATTATCTTTCATCATGATCATCATCAGACATTATTAATCCACTGATCGATGAAGGTTTCTCCAAGCCATCGCTATCTCTCATGGTGCTGCGATGCACAAATCCACCTACCAACTGATTTTATCACTCCATCTCCACAGTGGACGTTAAAAAACCCGGATACGCTCCTCCCCATTGGGTGCCACTTCCATCACCATTATCGACCATCTAGTGACGCGTCCTGCCCAAGCAAGTCCACTTTTCTAAAAGGTGAGAATTATGTCTTTAACCTGCATACGTTCTCTCATCTTGTTTGTTTTATATTTACATGTAATGTTTCTACATCCCATCTTGAAGACGCTGTTGTTGTTGTTGTTGGCGTCTGCGAGGACAGGGGGGTTGCCAGGGAAAGAGACCGGTTCACTGTGAGACAGCCAGGGCCATTGCTCTCGGGCAGTGTGACGGCCTCCAGCCCGGACACCCACGTCGTCCGTCACTGTGTGGTTGCAAGGTGTTGCACAGCACACCACGACGTCTCGAGTCTCCATCCTGCTGAATTAAACCCACCCATGCAAGTGGATGGCTAGGCTCAGAGATCAGAGCACCAAGCTGCCACCGCTGAGATCCTATGTTTTGGTTTGAATCCAGGTAGCCACATGTGTAGCGAGTCGATTGTCTAAGCCCAGTCACCAATGACTGTGCAACAAAACCAACAAATTAAATTTAGTTTAGCATTTAATTTAGCTAAATTCCAGCTCTGAGAATCAAAATATCGGGTTGACTGTCATGCGATGAACATCACTTTCATTTGGTGAACCAAATCTCCTCTCTACAGTGTGGACTAGTGGTTGCTTGAAATGACCTCAGAAGTAGTTCTGTGATTTTATTTTCTGTGGGCCATTCTCTAACGAAATGGGTTGCACTGCTCTACTAAAGATACAAATGAACAATTCATTTCAAGCAATGACAATGATAGCACAGTTAGGATAAAGCTGGGGGGAAATTATAACATAAACCTCACCCTCGGAGTCAAAAACCTTCAAACAATTTCAGTCCAAATTTGATCCCAACAAAGGTCTCATCCGTGCCTTGTTAAATTACAGGCAAGGTGTATTTCTACATTCCAGCCAGCATCGAGAAAGAGCAATAATAACCAATCCTGGTCCTAAGCCAGCAGTGGAAACGTCACAATTGATTTGTAAAGAGAATATTTTCCAAAGGATACCTGTGGCTACTGTCAACCGGGCCTGCAATAGTTTCATTTCAATGCAGCAGACAGAGAAAAATGCAATCGGTTTCCTTCACCTATCTGAACTTCAGAGGGTTTGTGTCCTCTGTGTCTTGGCTTGACAATCAAAGGGACGAGTGGGGGCCAGGATCACACCCAAACACGTTTATTATTTTATCAAAGTTGAGTAGACCTGCTGGGAGTCATTGACGAAGCATACATGATACATACACAGAACTGCCACTCTTTGTATGAGAGGTGTGTGTGCGTTTTCTTACCAGGCTGTTGACCACGAGGAGTGCCGTATTGAACTGGGGCGACTGCCCGGTATTGCTGGCTAGATGGCTGGTACTGCGCCGGTGGGCAGAAGTAAATGGGCATCTTTCACAGACACATTCCGGGATGGCAGTCATAAGGGTCATGGCCACAGCATATTTAGCACATGTGGTCATGACGGCTAATGTTGCTGAAGGCACCGCACATTGACGTAGCACATTCCTTTGTTTTGTTCTCAGCTATAAATATCCCACTGTTGGACATTCAGTGTGCTCCTCTGTATAATCCAGCATTGTGGAGGCGAGGGTTGGTGTACCACACAAATGCTGTGAAACTCCCTTCCCGTGGGCGTCGAGATGTCATACCCTGCCTTGTCAGGATAAGCTGGTGCAGCAAAATGTGGACTCCATCGGTTCCTTCTGTATAGGATAGAATGCTGCCCCTCAGCATGTGTGGATTTTCTGCGCGTGCTCCGATTTTCTCCCCCATGTAAACTCATAATTTGTCCGATAACACCTGAATATATAGGGGACCGCAGAGCTTGGGTGAGCAGGGTTGGGGGAATTTGGCGCCAGCTCACCACCTTGCTGCTGCCTTTCTCCCGCTTGTCTGCAGTTCTTAACGCCTCCGAGTCATTCTCTCTTTTCAAGAGCAAGTGAATACTGAATGTATGTTGAATTTCCCTCGCAATGTAGGTAACCAACCATGCTAATCGGAGGTGAGCGTTACAAGTTGAAATTACTATTGTTACATGTTATAATCTTGTCCCGCCATCTCATTATCTGTATACCTCCTTTCGTCTATGGGCCTTCACTCTGTTGTTAATTTGGCCCAACTGTGATTTGATTTTCTCAGTTAGAGGTCCTGCCCAGCTCAATTTCGGTTATATTTACATTGTAAATGACATCGGCTTTCTTAATTTTAAGCAAAATTTTTCATTTCTAATTTTGAACATCGCCATCACGTAAAAAATCTTCCTTTCCGCTCTGTTCTTTGAGACTTTGTTACTTTCTTACTTGTTCTTTAGTTAGGGAGCAGGTTCGTGTCCCCGAGGTCATTACTTGTAAAATAAAATAACCCATTAGTTTCCTTTGCAAACACAGACTGGTAATTTTCCCATCATTAAACTTTCAAAGACAGCATTTCAGAGCACATTTAAGAGGCATCAACTGCACGGTAGCAAATTATAACGATGCATTGTTGATATAGCACCCTATACACCGGGATGTCTCAAAGCGTTTTACATCACGTCACCTCAAATATATAAAAGGGCACCCCCAGTGGCAGCTGTCCCAGTGCACACAAGGTGTTTCAGCACCAGGACTCAAACGGGAATTAATCTGCAAATGGTGGGTCATGATTGCTATGCATAATTTCCATTGAGTAATTTGACCACCATGCTCCACATCCCTAGGATTAAACACACACATTGCAACAATAACAACAGCACCGCAGTGAGTGTGTTAAGCCAGATCATGCACCCAATTAATATACATTGTAAGAGGTTGTAGGTAGGAAAAGGTGCAGCCCTGCAATTGTTTACTCATGCCACTGCTCTGGAGAGCCTCTCTAGAGGGTATTTAGTCTAATCTTCCACTCTGGCCTGATCTCCCGGAGAAATGGTAGTACCCACACTGTACCCTACAGCACGTAACCTGCCAATCAACTGTGGTATACCCATCAATAGTACTGAGTGGATAGAGGTGGTGGTGGGGGTTAAGAAACGTACGCATTGTTTTAAATGCCACGTCGTTAGAATTACTTAGTGAACTCCGGATTGTAAGTCCTGTGTGATAAACCATTACATCACTGTAGCATAGACCTGCTGTGCGCCTAACTAAAAAAGAAAAACAAGGACCCCCTGTACCTGGCCATGCGGCTGTGATTGCCCATACGCCTGCTGCTGCTGCTGCTGTTGCTGATGCTGCTGCGTGGCACTGTTAGCTGCAGCCGAAGGAGGCGGGAAGCCGCCGGGCTGCAGGTGCTGCCCCAGGTACGTGGGCGGTTGAGCCGAGTTCTGGGGCACAATGGCGTGGTAGACGTGGGCGTGCGACGGTTCGGAGGCATCGCCTGCCGTGGGCTGACCCAGGCTCAGCTGGCTGAAGTGAGGCCCCAGTTCCTCGGGCTGTATGGGGGTTAAAGGGGGAGCACGGGGAGGAGGAGTTAGTCCAAACTCTGCACCAGCAGCTCACAAGGAAATACAGCGGAGCCCTTTGTATGATGTCCATTGCCAATCTGTTTTTTCCTACTTAAGATGAGCGAGCAATTAGAAAGGGTGCGGCTGATTCCTTTGCCACCATCAGACCTTGTCCATGGAATTTTTCACCATTTTCAAGAAATTTAAATAATTGTATGTGTACATTTGTAAAGCAACCATAAAATGACTTCTGCATATGAAACAATGCATTGCAATGCTTTTCAATACAAGGCAATTATTAATATAGACACATTTTTACCATTATTTAGAATTTGTTTCCATGCGCTGTTACCATTTACCTGCAGATGTACATTATACGACGCCATCGCGCTATAATATGCCAATCAATGCATCACGCTTCAAAAATGCATACAATCACTTAGCACACGGCCTTGTGTACGCACACGCGTGCGTGAGTTGCTGCGTACCACAGGGTAGGACTGCTGGGCAGACAGGACGGGCATGAGGGACTGAGGAGAGGTCGGCAGGTGGGTAGGAGCAGCGGCAGGAGGAGGGTAGGAGACCACCGAGTACTGGCCAGGCTGGTAAGAAGGCACATTGGGGTCCAAGGCAAAGACAGGGTTCACGGTCAACCAAGACAAAGATGCCCCATATAGCCTTAATAGACTCTCGGGGCAAGTACTGTGAGCGAGCACCTATGAAGGCTGGTACGGCACACCAGGGGGTGGGGGGTGGCCAGCACCACGCCCGGCCGCCTTTGTTTCCCTAGTGGCAATGTTTACACATGACATCAGGTACTTATTTAAGGCTGAGTCAACCTCGGGGAGACCCAGGACTGGTTCAGACAATCATCACTTGTGTTTTCCGTAAGCCGGAATCGAATTTGGGTCGCAGGATTCATAGTGCAGCACGCTAACCACTACACGATTGTTATAAAATAAAATGTAAAAACTCTGAAAGAACAGCAGCCACACCTGTGTCATCATGCCACCTGAGCTGTGGGCCTGCTGCTGTGGTGGCTGCTGGTTAGGTGGGGCCACCATGTGGCCTCCCATTGGCTGGTGGGAAGGCGGCGGACCCCCCAAGTGGTTGCCCATTGGCTGCTGGTGCTGGTGTTGCTGCCCCCCGTTCGGCGGGTTGTACACGGCCAGTGTACCGTCCGTGTTCAGCAGTGGCTGCCCTGTGCACACACACACACACACCATACAGAGATGTTTAGCCTCATAGAACATAGGGGTAAGTGCTGTTCGTGAACAACAGACGAGTGGCTGTTGTGGCCAGGCCCACATATGCCAGCGAGCCTTATCTCCCCGGTGCTGATTTTCAAACGCTGTACAGGGTAGTTATTTTAGGCGCAGTCAACCTAGGGTAGCAACTAGGTTATGTTCAGATACTGCTCGTACATATGTACAGAAATCAATAACTAAGCCAACCAAATGACCTTAGAACACCTATTTGCAACATCATCCACAAGACCAAAATAAGTATTTTCTTCAATCATGCAGTATTTTGTCAATCCGCTGCTTGATGAAGGACTCACCGTGCCATGTCGGTAGTCAGGGTGATTATTAGCGGTTAGTTAACCATACTTCACGTAGATGATTATTGTGGGTTGGTGGTGTCTCATAGACATTGAGGCATAGTACAGTACCACACAGTATACTGCCGCACTGCCCTGCATTGACAAAACAGCCCGGCAGGGTTGTTTTTTCTTTGACCCGAGCTGGTTTGTACCTGCACAGTGTTTTAATAGGCGACCATCAAGGGTGCAACGGGTGTTATAGACTGTTGTGGTATTAAACAAACAACATGAGTAACAACAGAGGCAATCGCATCTTCCTTATACTATTTTACATGGGTCCTGTGCCGCAACTCGCGGCTCACCTGTTTGTGGGTTGATGAGCACGCTACCCGGTGGGATGCCCGCGTTGTCTAGCGACAGCAGGTAATAGTTGGGCCCTCCTGGGGCGCCAACTGGGGCCCCCAGGGAACCGCCACCACCGGTGCCGCCGCTGCTGTGTGGGCCCTGTGGTCCGCCCGAGGAGGAGGGGTGCGGCGGCCGGGCCTGGGAGCCGGAAAGGGAACCTCCACTGCTGGACGTCTCTGAGCCTGGATCACACGGAATGAAGATGGGGGGTGGGGGGGGGGAAGAGTCGATGCCAGGGGCTTCTGAGTGCTCTGATGCCCACAGTGCATTGAAGTCTCACGCAGCCCCAGGGAGGCTTTGCATTGAGAAATTACTCATTGGTCAGCCATCTTTTGTAAATCTCCTGCTGGATGAGGGCCTCCCCAAGCCATGCGGGTCAAGGGGGTTATTTTATCATACATCACCATGCTGGTCAGTGTCAGTTGGTGAAAGCGGGAAGCATAGACAAGGGGACATAGTACAGCACAACAATGGATATTGCTGCACTGTCTCTCTGTTGCCCACCGTGTAGTCTCGTAAGCCCTTTGACAACCTTTTGGTGGTTGACTAGCTATCCAAGCACTATCCAGGATTAACCATGCTGAGCTAAATTGAAGTGTCAAAATGTAAATTGTTGGGTAAAAGAGTCCCCATTTGTCTCAATTAATTTTCATGAGTATCCTACTAACTCCATGGATATTTTCTCACATGCTGAAGGACCCATACTGCCAATAGACATGGAGTAAACATTCAATAAAAAAACACAGCTGTCAGTCAGGTCAGCTTCTTCAAGGAAAAGCCTCATACTTATTGGTTAAAAATAATATAAATATAGGCCTCTGTGTCTCTGGAGACAATTCTTTTGCACCTTACGAGGTCAGCTGTGAGGTTTGCAGCACCTAGAATGACTTAGTAGGCCAATTAGAGTGGCAATCCTTGCCACGGCAATTGCAAGTGAATGTGGTGGCAGCTCCAGAGGTGTTTTTTGCTTTATCTTTACGCAGCTCCCTCTTGGTCCCCAAAATTGGTGACAATAAAAAGGGGGTGAGGGGGGTAGGAGGATCATGACTTCTATCATCACTTAACATTTATATTGTGCCTCACATGCAGTACATCTTGCGGTGGTAAAACCAGGGGGGACCGCTTGCCCAGTGGAAGATGTCCCTGTGCAGCACAAGGTGAAGGTGGAGCTGGCCAGCAAAGTGAGGATGTGGATTCTGCTCCACAGCCACCTCCCGGCCAAATCCTCACAGGTCTGGGGTGCAGTGTGCGTCCACCCACCCGTCTTGCTGAGCCTTCCAGCGTTGCTCTTGCCCCCTCCGGAACAGCTGTCCCCACGCGCCAGAACGGAGATGCCACCAAAGCTGCTGGCCTTTGTGATGGCCGGTCGTGCCAGTCGGAAGCCGGAGCTCTCCAGGTCGGTGCTGCTCCACGGCCGCGGCTCGGCGGGCCTCAGCTCCGACTCGCCGCTGCCCCCTTGCCCGCTGCCATTCGTCAGACGCCCGCTGTCCTTCTTGCCCCTACTGTGCACGTGGATTGTAGTAGGGCAAGCAGGTTGGGTAGTGGGTGCCAGTTGGTTCGACGATCGTACATACCACTTAGAATTTTCAAACTCTGCATGAAATCGTCATTACCATTTGGCGACTAATTGCTAGGCAAGCAATGATGAATAAATTCAGAAAAGTAAACTGATGCACTGAACCATGCGTGCAGGAGTCTATTAATTTTTATTCATATTATATATGATTGGTTCATGACAATCCTACAGGCACATTGAACTCCTGCAGCCACGATAATTGTTACCTACACCAGAAGAATAGAATCGATTCTTGAATTGCGTTGTGAATCGTGGAGGGGGTGAATCAATACCTGTCTAGCCAATTAACAACCCTCGCTCCTTTTTCATTGAGTAAAATAGGTTGAGCTTGCAATCTTCACAACATACAGCAAGCAATGACATGCAGAGTGATGAAGACTGACATGAAAAGAGTCTGAGAAGCTTACCATTTTTTAAAAATAGAGGTGGGCTAGCACCAGTATTAAGATGCCAAGCGATAGAGCATTTGCCGCTTGTTGAAGAGGTTCATGGTGTAAGCCTAGCAGCCTACATGGTTAACACTGTAGGTGTAGCCAAAAATTTGAGGGTTAATGATCAAGTAATGTTATACGAAAAGTAGTAGGCCGTGTGTGCCAGCGTAATGGTTCGAATTTGAATATCCGCTTGAAAATGAGTTAATTGGGTAAAACTGCATGCCTCCCCTATTGGAAGACTATACACATCTGTGAAACACAACAACAGAATCTTAATTTAGAATGGTGCGAATACTAAATGTACAAAATTATTACGACTATTAATAACGTTACAACATTACAGTGCACCACTTTGTGCCCTTTCAGTGCCAGGTGTTTTTTTGTTTAGGGTTCAGCGGATTTTGTCAGGTATGGCAGTGGGGCGACTGTGACGGCCGCCAATGTCAGGACCAAGTGAGGAGCAAAGCGTAAGCATCTGCCAACCATACAATCATCCCCAGTAGTTAACCCAATCCCCCCATGAGGCAACACTACATTTAGCCAAACGCGACATTTACATTGCAATAGCTGGCTCAACAGATGGCAATTGCACAGCATGCGCGGCACACAGCACACACACACGCCATGCACATGCTACACGTGCACAGACAAGATGGTGCGTGGATCAGCTGCAAGAACAGCGCCGTCCAGCAGAGGAAACGGGGAGGCGGAGCTAGTACCTAAATATCTGCCGTCGTTTGAGAGTATTATTTGAGGAACAGCCATCTTCCTGGATTCTGTAGATATCAGTCATTATACAAGGAAACAAATTCACTTTGTTAGAGCATAATTAATTAACGAGTCGGGAAAATGTTTGATATTTAGTAATGTTGTTACAAACAACATTAAGGTGTCCCCGATGAGGCTGTGTTCAAGTCGGTAGCAAACTCACCTGATCTCGATTTGAGGAAGTTCTTGAGAAGATAAGGACTGAAATTTGACATGAAAAATTGGAATTTCCAATGAGTAAAAAGAATCATCTCTGGCATAGTTTTGAAAACAAAGTTAAATATTTGAGTGTCTGTCTACAAATTGTGCCATACACCCATAGTCCCAAACTCGTAGTGGTGCTCATGGTACCTTTATGAGCAGCTTTTTGATAAATGGAAACATTATATTGGATTTTAAATTAAACATCAATCAGCGCTCAAGGTTACTTATTAATTTAAGGAACATGGTTGTGAAACAATATTCTTTTGACACGACAGGATACACTGTGGTCTGATGTTTGCATTTTTGACAGTAAAAAATTACCTTTGACTGAAGTTTTGCGATTTGTAACCTTCTACCACACGATGAAGCACATTTATTCCCCATCTTATACTTTTAACACATTCAATTACTCTTTCAAAAGTATTTGCTCTGCATATTATGAATGTCTCAAACTCAGCACAGTGTTTCCATTTGTCAAGTCTATAACTGTTTTTTGTTCAAAATAGAATTTCAAACGATGTGAGTTTTGTTTCCAATAAGCGAGGCAGATTTTAATTTGCACGTCGCTTTGCATTAGCATCAGCACCAAGATCTCAGCTCAAGTACAATCCTCTATATGAAAAATTACTCTGAATTACAGCGCTCTCCAATAATTACACCATGCCAGTACCATAGCACTGTTGTCATGAGCCCTGGTGCAAGGAATTAAACAAAGTCCATGGTGCCCAATGTTACATTATCAAGCTGCAGGGGCAAAAGCTCCAGTGGAGTTGCACTGCCTGCACATTCGACAGCTTCCGCCAAGGCAACAATCCTTTTATTAAGTTATCCTTATAGCACATCCTACATCCCACACTCACGTCTTGTGCAAATATCCTGTCGCGCACTCGCTGGTATTCCTCCTCGCGTTCCTCAAACGACTTACTCCGCCGCTCGTCTTGCAGCGGACGGATGCGCTGTGCAGGTGGCAGAAAGGGGTCGATCGAGTAAAAACAGACACGCTCATGAGTCCGTTAGCATGCTCTCATGTGAATCCGTGCGTGTGTGCATGATCACTCGAGTACCCGTGCACTCACTACCAGAGCCGCTATTTGTTGTGTATTTTAAGCGTGGCATTTGAAAAATATAATGTCAAAATATGGCGATCGATACCATAATTATGTGAACTTTAAAACCGTGGCCAGTTTGGCAAAGAAAAACTGACATCACTTGGGAAACAAGGAGCCATCGTTACGAAATCGATTACTATTACGCAGGCTCTACAAACTAAAACAGAGGTTACCGAACTTATTCTGATACAAAAAGGAATTCTTGGAATGTAACTTGACCATTTAAAGAGAATCACTGAACTTAATTAATGACAAATTTGGACTCAACGTGAACAGATTAGGTTCATGAAGAAGCTCCCAGGATGTGGGGCCATACATGTGGGTCACCCCAGAATTTGACAGGTGGGATGCATATCCATTGTACCACCTACTTCTTTACAAAAAATAAATGTATTACTATATTGGTGATTCACAGGGTAAGTGTGACATATTGGCTGAAATTTTAGATCAAGGGTTATATTTCCCCCATAAAGGTGCTAAATCTGCACCTTTGTGGTCCTTGTTCGAGGTCCAAACAGAAATGGACTCAATATAAAGAGTCTCTACTTGGTCTAAAAGGGGCTTTCATAAGCGGGAACTTTGGTCGTTTGGCATGCGAAGTTTTAAATTATTTTCGGCCTACTGTGAATACAATAGGACACACATACAGAGCAGAGACCTTCTGTGCCATAAGAAATTATTAGAATAAATTACATGGAGCCTTTGTCTCAGCCTCTTTGTGAAGAAGTCAATCGGTAACATGTCCCTTTTGCAAGAGAGAACAGGGATTGGGCCATCAAGCTTCCAGCAACCAATCCGGGAAAGAATACACATTTTCAGAGGCATACAGCCGAGGAGCATATCTGTCCGATAATTATTATTCAGAGATGGCCAAGTGACTTAGAGGTCAGAGTGATGAGTTGGGACCACTGAGATCTTGGGTTCAAATTGCATGTAGCTGCCAGTGATTGAACAGGATTCAAAAGTATAGCGAGTTGATGTCGTGTGACAAACATTACTCTTCATGGCAAAAGCGAGTGAGGTGAGCGCTGCCCCAGTATTGTGTGGAACAAGGGCCACTCGAAGGTATTTCAGAGGTGACGCTAGAATGGCCACTTCCATTGGTTTCTCTAACATGAAGGGTTGCGCTGCTCCGCAAATAATATGAATGGATACTTTGCCTCATGGCACGATGCTGATACAGCCAATGGGGATACAACTTGGGAATGAAAAAAAAAATTAAAGTTACGCTCACCTGCATGTCATCCCTGTCCATGCTAGAGTTATCCCTCTTGAGGATGAAGCGCTTCTGTGACTCCTCAGCCCTCGCCTCATCTTTCAGATGGACTGAGAACCTCTGCTCTGGGCTGGGGAGTGGATAGAAACGGGGTGGAGTTTCATATCCCACACATCGTGCTCACTGCTTTCTAGCTTTCAATCTATTAAGGCGAGAAAAAACATAATTGCTGGTGTCTTTCAAGCCAGAGATAGAGCACCGGATGGGTGGAGGGGATTGGAAGGCATACAAGCAAACAATTAAATTTGTTTATATAACATTATTTTGACCAAAATGAAAAACTTTGTAAATTAGTTTAACAATGCTTATTTATTTACATATCACAAAGCAAGTGAGCACGCAATGAATGAGCACGTTTCCACCAATCAATTTAATTAACGAGCAAATAAAAGGTGATGAAAACATGTGCCGGACATGTTGACAGCGCTCCCTCTCTCTCTCCAGCTCCGTACGTGCATGGGGCCACAGACCTCCCCCACTGAGCGCGCATGTGCACAGCCGTGACCCGGGGATGCGGATGACAGGACAATCAATCATCAATCGATTCTTTGACTCAGTGCCGCGCGAGAGCCCAGCGGGACCCGGCTCCTCGTTCACCAAGGAGACGAGCAGATGCAAAGCACAACCGTAAACATTCTCGCAGGTGTATAAAAACAGAACACGGAACGAGCAATGGAAAAACGATAGCTTGTGCCAGGCTATGTGCACTTTAAGGCCACGTGAAGTGTCGAACACCCGTTGGCAGGAGGTCATGGGACAGACCCAGGTGCCATGGGTTGACTGAGATTACTGGCAGATGCACCACCTGTGCCCCCTACTGTGCCAACAACAATACACCCAGCACCTGCACATGAACCGATCTCATTACTCTCTCTTCACAGTGGACATCCTCTAGGGCGCATTCCCTCCTTTGTGTTCCCACTCAATAGTTCTTCTCAATCAACGGCCACCTTCCATTCTAGCAATGTACCCTGTCGAACCTCACTCACTTTTCTTCATAAAATACAAAAAAAACATCAACGACAAAACGTGGCATCGAAAGGCGCAACCCACATGCGAGTGCCGGGCGTCTTGTTCACCACCACGGCCTTGCCCGTCTGGTCCACGTTGTGGTCCATGCCAAAGTAGGCGGCCACGCGGTGCACGAGCATCCGGTGGTACGACGTCATTGGTGGGAACTTCCTGTAGTGCTGCCTGTAGGACAGCGTGGTGTGACACAGCACGCAGGGGGAAACACATGGCAGTTACCAAGCTACAGGCACAGCGAGTGCACTCTCAGCTGCCTCTTTTCCCCTAGTTTTCTCCTCTGCGCTCTATTTTTTTTAACTTAAACTGTAGCTTTTACTGTGCACGTTGACATCCAAACAGATAAACTCATTGGCACCATGTCCACACATTGCACAGCTTCCATTTATTTCCCCACACTGTAATGGCATATCAGGCGGGGGACGCTCTCTATTTTTAAACCTCGGCACACACGAAGGCATTTGTGTGGATAGCTAGACAGATAAGTATATATCAATTTGAGGCAAGTGAGTGCCCATTCATATTGTCACGTGCTGAGTAAGCACTGCTTGTCAGGATGTGTTCCACTGCTGACAAGTGTGAATACACAAAGAGCCTGATTGCCAGGAAGTGATTTGACAGCTCGCCATGGAAGCCATGCCAAGACAGCAACCATGCAAAAATGGCGAGAGGTCGCCAGAAAGAGATGGACACTATAAAAAAAATAAACATAAAAGCAACCAACCATTGTGGAATTGTGATGGGTAGGAGTGACTGATGGACTACGTTCCATTTCTGTGCAATCAAATTGGACTGCCTATCGCTTGCTATACTGTGTAGTGGACACTAACAGGAATACTCCTGACAGACACTGTTATGCTGGGGCACGTGATGATCCAGTGCGGTTCCCAGCCACGGCACTCACTTGTTGTCCTGGACAAACTCCATCAGCTCCTGCTCCATCTTCAGCAACATCATGCGGTCTCTGCAAACCAGCCATGGCAGGCACACATGCTATCATCATTCTCACACAAGCAATCGGCGCGACTCACATTTTGCCAGGTCGTAATCTTCACCAACCCGAACTGACCAGCATGGTGAAGTATGGTAAAACAACCTCCACTATTAACACAATGCAACAGAGGTCTACATTCTCTAGTGGACCAATTATTGTATAAATGTATATCGGGAAATGCTTTAAAAATGTAAACATTAAGCTTGAATCATCAGGCTAGCAAGGAGAATACAAATGCACCTTACCTGGGATTATTTTTTAGAGTGTTTACAAGAAACTCGTGCACATCAACACCCGTGGAGTCCGTGTACTCCTGACTGGAATCTGCACACACATGAGACGCATTTACAGCTCTTTTTCATATAAGCCATGGGGACTTGTTTGACCATATTTCACTATCCTGGTTAGCACAGGTTGGTGAATGGGATGAGCCCAGGAGCAGTTAAGAGGTCACTCACCACTGATGTTAGCAATGGCCGAAAATCGAACTCAGGTTGCCATGTTGATATTGTAGTAGGCAAAAAATTGCTCCAATGCTCAAAACCAGTTCTGTTATTTTTCTTTTAAAATACAGTATTATACCGCATCCAAAGAGTGAGTGCACTTCAAGTTATAAATACCATATTTTGGCACTGATCTCCAAAGTATAACATTTTCTGCTATTATTCAAAGGTTAAAGCCCTGCTTTATAAAAATAAATTCCCAATACGTGTTGGTGTTATTCATGATAATTAAAATGGCCCATGGATGTGAGGCAGCTGTGGGCAATTAAAACCCACTCCCTGAGTGCAACATCTAAGAATACAAAAAAAAATCAAGGCAACAAAAAAAATAGAAAGGGAAAAGATTCAGAGGGACATTTGAGGTCACTGGGTTTCTTTTTTCTCTCTCTCACTTAAGCCCGCAACCGCGATGCGGTATCGTTAGCGGAGATGAGCTGTGAATTCCTGTTCTAGAAGGCACGCAGAGAGAGGCAATAACAATGCGGCGGTGTGGAAGTGCGCCAGCACAAAGCTAATTTACAGCAACCTGCGCACGTGGACCACACACACACACACAGCGGCAGCAGTACCAAAAAAGAAATGGTCGGAACATAATTGGCATTTTATCCCTGGTTGGGGTATTGGAACATTGTGCTCTCTTCAATGTTATCTAGATATTAACGTTTTCATTTTTGCTCGCTGGCTGATGCGGTGTTAGCATGAAACCAGTGCCAGTTATTTTTAAGCATCTGCATACAATATATACTTCAAACAGAAGTTAGGAAGATTAATTTCAGGCCTCTGACTTTATGTTCTTTGTAATTATTTCACTCACGATAATTATTTCACGTGTGTGAATTTACCCAACCCTAAATGCTTAGCTGCGTGGTAAACACTGCATTCCCAAAATCTGACACGGGAATTGGACATTGCAAACTCAGACAAGTGTGTACCTCAAAGCCGAACACAATGTACCTATATACCAAGGGTACAGAACGAGTACTGAAAATGTAAAAAAAGCATTAACTCAAAAACTTTACGAGTGAATTTACAATTCATGGTATAAATGACAAGAGCATTAGAAGTCGGGGTTCTCCGTTAAAGTGTTTGTGCCTCTCATGCAAGTCTGAAATTTTCAGCTGGAGAAAAAACTACCATGGTTCCGGCAGCCTTCATAACGCCACACAAACAGCAGCAACGTGCTTCCCTTACATCGTTGCAGCATCACCGCATTTGACACATCAGAATTGAAAAAGACACGTTCGCATTTTACAAAGCTTATTAACAAACACTGCCATCTCTCAGCAATGTGGAGAGACAGGGCAGCTACTACAAGGCCAAGGTAGCAGCGTGAGAACAGCAGAAGAGACATCGCGCACCGTGCGGAGGCACGGACTCGTCACCTCCATGTGTACCCTCAATCATTATACATTCATAACGTTTACCCAATGGAGCATTAGCGGTCGAGAAAACACTACGCAGTTTTCTGGTCAGCGGTGGCTACTAAATGCATAACGCACCGCAGAGCTGTAGAACAGCAATCTCCTGGTTATTTGCAGTGAACATATTGCTCGGCAACACTTTTGAAAAGCGCCGACATCATAATTATCAACTCATTATATCCTACTGACTCGCCTGCAGCCAGTGCCTTATCCTAATCTCACTAAGTGGCTTATTTTGTTATTGTTTAATGAAACACATTTTTTAGGGCACAACCGAGACGAATTTAGATTTCTTAAAGTGTACCTCGCCAACATAGTAGCTATCGTCACACAATCGTCTTCTCTGCCTTTGTTTCTTTGCTCTCATTTCGTGACTAATGTGGCACTAAAAGGCCCTCCCCATCGTGCATTCTGAAGACGTGACCAAGCCAACAGAGTCAATCCTTCTGAATTATTGCACTAAGCCGTGTCCACTGTGATGTATTATACCAGCCCTGTGGTTTGATAGATGGTCATGCCTTTTGACTTTTAGAATCCTATGAATACAGAATCATTGAAAGACATCTCATTCGTGCTCTCACCTTTACCAGATCACTTATGTTCCAGCTTTGTGTTTTACTGGTGGAAATTTGTATTTCATTAAGTAAAATCGGATGTCGTTATGTACAAACACTCGTTTTTTTTATGTATCTAAATACTGGCCAAATATTTAATGAGAGCCATTGTTCTATGTTACAGATGGTCTGTCGTTTCAAAGTCAATGCATCTTACAGCTCAAAGAAACACGGTGGCAATGCTCATTGCTGCTCAAAGCCCAAAGCCAGTGGTGGAAATTCCTCATTCCTTTGGTGGGAATATCACTCCACAGAACAATCACTGCTGACCTCTCCCATTTCATTTTCATTTCAGGGACTGATGGCTGAGTCAACCCCTGATCGGGATTTGAACTCGCAAACTTCCACTTGTGACTCATGCACTCTAACCTCTGGGCAGCTATTTAGACAACCACAATCAAGTTGTGTAAAGCTATCGTTCCTTTAAAAATGTATTCATTGCCAAAACTTGATGTTGACTAAATCAAACGTACTGATGCTATAAATGAAACCTTATTGAGTTAAATTTCGATTTAAAGCTTTCGTGACTGCAGGGATTCATCTTCTTGGTTCTTTCGGTAAAGTCACGTAGAAGGGAAATAATAAAATAAAACATTTTTAACATAATAAAATAACGAATTTCTCACGAAATTTCGGCCACAACACAAGCAGCCGTCCTCAGGTGAAGAAACAGAGCTGTCGGAAAGGGACGCTGTCTTTCCGACAGCTCTGTTCCTTATTGAGTTGTATTCTGTCCACAACACGGGTTTATGCAGGAAGAAATACCAAGCAAACCACAGAAGGGCATTTTCCACTCACCCCGCGACAAGATCCTGGGCACCTTGGGCATCTTCTCTTGTCGCTCAGCAGTCGCCCTCTCGCTGCCCCTGTCCTTGTCGCGCAAAACACTTTCCTCCTCTCTGCCCCCAGCGTGGGGTTCCTTGGATGCAGGAAGAGGCAAAGCCGTGAACACCCATGTGGGAATCCGACTTCCCGCAAAATAGGGGCAGTATCCGTCCTAATGACTCATGGGGAAACGGAGCAATCTCAATTTGTAGAGAAATTAAGGAGCATGGGCTGTCATGATCTTGTTTTGTTGTTGGCCAAAATACTTGCTCTGTGAACACATCGATCCGAGTTTTGATTCCCGATGATAACATGAAAAGCAATATGATCTTTAGTCACCCACCTTCACAAGCCCGCACTGATCAGCATGGTGAAGAAAGGTCAACCTCCATGACCGACATGGCATGGGAAGGCCTTAATCCAACAATTAATTACAAAGGACCATTAAATATTGTAATATTTTTAGTGTGAACCGCGTTGGCCAAAGATTGAAATGAGCAGGCTGTGACGGATTATAATTTCTTACCTTTATCTCAATATTATCTTATGCGCTGCTAAGCCACTCTATTCAAAGCGGTGTGACCACAGGAACCGTTTCCCACTGTTCCAACAGAGTGTGGCTCCGAACCACTTCAATTTAAGCATAAGAATAAAAAGGAAAAAAACCTGGTTGTCCTGAACACCAGCATCTGAAGCCGGAGGCGGGGAAGGATCATCGCACACAGCCAGGCTTCGCACCAACTTCATCTTGGCATTCGACTGGAGGAGAGAAACGATGGAATGCTTGGCATCTGGGAGAACATTTCTTGGTTCTCAAGTTGTCACAGGCGCAGAGAATCAGATTAAGGTGATGCGTGAACAGATTAGCTTAGGCAGAGCTAACGGGCTGAACGGGAAGCCAACATGCGGGAGAGGAGTGTGAGAATGACCCGAGGTGTCTAACAATGTGCAACGGCGGCTGCTGTGTACGATGCGCAGGAGACACCAAGGTGGAGACGTGCCAGGCAAAATGCTCCACAAAAACACATGCGCTAATTTTATACGCTTACTTCCGTTAACTTGCAAGTACAGCCCATTTGTTAATCCACTGCTGGATGAGGGCCTCCACATGTCACGTGGAATGTGAGGGTTATTTGACCAATACCTCATCACGTTGGTCATCGTGGGTTGGTCAGGGTGGGGAGCATAGGTTGGGGAGCATGGTACTAGACTTGCCCCACCGCAGGCAACAACACCTGTGTTGTGGGCCGTGTTGAGCATGGTTGTCACCCATTCAGACGACTGGCCAGGCTCATTGCCCTGCTTAGCTTGACATCTGATGAGATTGGGCAGATTCCTCAATGAATTGGTCAGACGCTTTTAACATACATGGGCTCCAAATAAAAAAATGTTTGAGTTCATAGCACTACCAGAATTTACCGTGAATGCAAACCTTAGCTGAACATAATTAATATACACATCAAACATATATTGTTTCATGAGTTTCACTTATAAGCACCGATTTACAATGATATACACAAAGGCATGTGGACAAAGAATGCCATTTGGCAGGAGGCCGAATGCACACCCTGCATTGCAAAGTACAGAATGTTCTGGGAAGAGAAAAAAAACGCCGTAATGTCTTAATGGAAGTAAGGTACGGGAATAAACCTCGATTTTAACCCTCCATTTGCAAGAACCATTGGTGCCATATAAAACAACAATTTAGGTATCATTGACACCAGTTATGGTGTTGGCTGTTCTCAAATTCTTATTATCACGCAGAAAATAATTAAAAATTGCTCCATATAGCAACAAAAAGTATATGTTGATTTGAAGCTTTCGTGACTGCAGGAATCCACTCTTTGGTTCTTTCAGTAAAGTCATGTAGGTAAAAAATTCATAGATCACGACGTTTCGATCGCAACACAAGCAACCGTCATCAGGTAAAACAAACACAGCAGGAGGACTGCTGCGTCAGCATCAGCAGTTCTCCTGTCTCACCTGATGACGGTTGCTTGTGTTGCGATCGAAACCTCTGTGATCTATTCATTTTCTATCTACGTGACTTTACCGAAAGAACCAAAGAGTAAGCAAGTATATGCTTCTGTATGCGTCTATGTAGTGTACATGCTGTTTGAACATATACCTTTGCATTCATGGGTAATAAAATTATGTACATTTGTAAATCTGCATCGATCTGTTATCTGCTCCTGCAGCAGTTCTGTTCAACAGCGACAGAAATTTGCATACAAAAAAATTCATCCAAAATAATACTAAATGGTGAAAAAACTTCCACCTCTGACCGAAGAATTAAGCAGAATTATATATTGTACTCCTTACCCATGCGTGCTTTATTTTTAGGCATCACAGTGAGCGATAACTTGAAGATTCCGCTGCAAGCCATCGCTGCTGAAGATAAACAAGATTGATCCTGCCATTGTCTGCCACCTGCGCTCTCAAAGCAATTCGCTGGAGAGGACCGGTTCGCATTCCACCACGAGCAGAGTCAATACGTGGAGAGATTGAATCCCGCCTGACGAATGGTTTAATTAGAATGTAAACAGATACACATGGGTCTGACCGCTTGCAGATTGTCGCACTGCAAAATATCAAATATCACTCTGCTGTGTTTTTTTCTTTAAAATGCCGCGATTAAAACCCGTTTGAGCTCCGAAGGGTAGAGAATTCATTCGCACACTAAATGATGTTTACCTCGAGGTGCGGCATTCTGAGAGTGCACGTTTGTCAGCGTTGATTAGATTAGTATTGATGTCCTACATGGATGCCGGTGATTATGGCGGTTAAAAAAGAAAAATGGCATTGACATTTCCACACTCTCTTCTCGTGAAAACAAATATTTTACTTATCCAGCCATACATCCATCCCCCAATAAATCCATCTACACATCTATGTGTCTCCACATCTATCCCTGCTATTCATTTATTTATAGCAAGGATTGCGTTTCGGGTGTTTTTTTCTGCTTGGGCCAGGGGGCTACGCTGGTTCCTTGCCCTTCTCGCCCATGAAGCACTCCCAAGCCAACGCTGAAAACAATCACCCCAATATTTTATGAGCTCCCACTCTTGCGGAGTTCCCCATATCTCAGCCACTGTGTACCACCCACTGGTTCAGATCGGGGGGTGGGGGGGGGTACCCACAAAAGCTGGTTCAAGCACCCTAAATGTTTTAAGAGGCAATTTGAAACAGACACGGGAGTGTGCGGTAGGGTTCAACTTACCTTGGTTCTTTTCCGCGTTGCTCCTTGGTTTTGTGGTCGTCTCTGTGGCAAAGAACAAAGAACGTATTTAATTAAACTCGTTATCAAAATATAACAGGCTTTGTTAGGTGCAGTTTTCAAAAAGCAGCCAATGAAGGAAATAATGAGCCTATTCATTGAAACAATAACAGGATATGAAAATGTTTAGCAAAAAAGACAGCGAGCCAAAAAAAGATATTATTTGCTTTTCAGCATGGGAACAAAAAGGTTTAATATTTCATGATATATCACATAAGATCACTCAAGCAGCAACAATCTCATATGTACAACCCACTGTTGAATGAGGGCCTGCCAATGCCATGTGTCCTGGGTGTTATTTGACCATACGTCACCATGCTGATCAGCACTGGTTATTGAAGGCAGGGAGCATAGACAAGGGATCATAGAAGTACAGTACAACAGATTTTGCTGCACTGCTCAGCTGACCATTACATAGCACAGCTCCACAGCCACCTTCAACAACCTGACTTGCATGGTGGTTACCCATCAAAGCACTACCGAGACTCCAACTCTGCTTGACTTCTGAGATATGCGAGACCGGGCACTCTCCGGATAATATAGTCACAGGCGCCAATCTTAAACCATTTACGTCAAATATATATATGGCTGAAGTTTATCAGATTTTTGGTATTAAAATGAACAACTTTAATTCACGTGCACATCAACAGCTCATTTTGAAATAAAACTGCAATTCGTGCCTGCTGGTCGGTCGCAGGATCCGGCTCCGCTCGGGTTGCCTCCCTGTCATCTTCGCCCCGGCTATCGTGCACCAGCAGAACAGACAGTCCGGGAGGCTGCTCCAACCCATGCTCCCGCTCCCCACTGCCTGCCCCGGCTCGTCCCTTCGCGAAGCCGGGCACGTCGCCATGGACGAAGACGATGCTGGGTGCGTCACCACGTGGCCCGTTGTGCTCGTGAGCTATTCCAAGCCTCTCAGCTCCCGCCGTGGCCACAACTTCTGCACCGTCGCTGACGCAGCCCAGCGCTGCCGCTGATAATTCGCCCTCCTCCGTGCCGGTGGTGTCCAGCTCAATCACGATGCTCGGCATCTCCATCTCCTGCTGCTCCCGCGCCGCCACCGTCGTGGCTGCCTCCACCCTGCTGGGTTGCATGCTGAACTCCGCGATGGTCGGGTCACTGGATGTGGTATTGTCGCTCAGCGAGTTCTGCGCAGACTTAGACTGCACCATGGCACCCGGCGGCTGCTCTCTGTGCGGAGTCCGAGCAGCATTCGTCAGGCTTCTCTGTTCCACTCCAGCCGCAACCACTGTGGCCCCTTGCTCAGATTTGGCAGCACTAATTCTGGCCTTGTGGATTATCGGGATGTCATTGGTGTCTGCCAGGTGCAATTCAGGTTTTTCTAGTTTGTTGCCGGTAAACGGCCTCTCCATGTCTGTCTCAATTGATTTTCCCAATTTCTCAAACTGTACTCGGTTCATTTGCATTGATCCCTTGGTGCACAACCTCCAACGGAGTCATTGTCAAATTAAAAAAATGATATCCTGACAGTTTTTCAGAATGTATTATTTGCAGACACCCTGCTTCACACTGTGCTTAAATGTGACACATTTCTACACATCCAGAAATAGAATCTTGAGCATGCAAAGAGGCCTTCCATCGTTACAAGACACAGTGGAGCTGCGCTATGTCCAAGATGATTTGTATGAGACCTCAAACACTTGTTTTTCGCATGGATTCACGAAACTGAAAAATACAAGAGAGTACAAACAATTGGTTAATGAAATAGATTAAATAACGAAACATACATAAAGGGCTTAAAACAACCCAACAAGTATTGTATTTAACATTCTCTGACTATAAAAAACGGAATTGTTGTTCCGATGAATATTCATCATTACCTTCTGGTGCTGACTGTATATGCTTTAACAACAGCAGGTGTCTGGGATTAAACCTTTTTATGAGTAACCCATGAAAAAAGCCACGGAAGCTTGTAAAATAAACAATTAAAAAAAACCAAGGCAGCAATGAAAGCTGGTGGAGAGTTGTTTTTCCCAGGAGAAATTAATCTCTGCTTTGGAGAGCAGGTTCCTGTGCAACGATGCCACAACAGTTACGCGAGTGAAAATGTCACCTAACCAACGCGGTCTACGAACGCAATCAGGTGCTCCAAATAGTGACTTTATGCACAAATATTATGTATGTATGTTTAACTTATTTAGCACCGTATGAAGCCAACCGTGCTAATCGGAGGTGCTTGGTAGAAAACGGACTATGCAGGATGAACTGCAATGATGTTCTAAAATGTGGTGCAAAACAAACCCCACTGGAGGAGATGATCACACAAAATACCGGTTTAAAACGTACGAGAATATCATCCTTCAAGAACCCACACACATATATACACGTACATTCCCATAGATAAGCGCGTTGCCAATGAATTTAACAATAACAACGTAGTATGAATGGGGTGCCCTTTGTTTTGCAATGACTCAAGACGCCTACAAAAGCCCCAGGCGTCAGCTGAACAATATTAGGACCAACACGAACGACGACATCATTAGCGACGTGCACAATTACCGCCCGGAATCTCTGGGCCTCTCTTAAAGGCAACGAGGCTACGCCTTGCAAATGCCAATGGACGCACGGAAAGAGAAACCTTCATCCATACATTTCAGCCGGGAAGGCGTAAACCCGCGAAGGTACTTAAGCGAGGATAAATATTGTACGTCCCTGCTCGCTGTAGATCCGACTGCAAACGTGGGTGGACATTGCGTCGCCGCGTATTGAATAATTTAATTGCGCAATTTCAGGGCATCTGCTCAGAAACGCGCTCCCTCTTGATGTTGCGGTTACTCGTGAGCACGTCTGACGATTTTGCATACAAATGAATGTAAACAGAACGGCGCATCCCAGCGTCAGCACAGCATTTTCATTATGCCATTACAAAACAATATTCAACGTTTGCGTAACGTCTGACATCATTCCGCACAACAAATGGGACAACCCGGAAACACATCACATAATAGAGAGAAATTCAACTTTGTTTCATGGTGCCGTCTTAATTTTGCATCAGCCTCTCAAAAGCGTGAGTATCCTCTTTCTCAGAGTGGCTGTGGGGTACACGCCATGGACAGAGCGACACATGGGGGGGGGGGGGGGGCAGTGCTGTCGGCCGTCGGCACAAAACCAAGAACCACAGGAACAGCCGGAGGCCTAAAATATAAATCACTATTGAACACTCGCCAAGGTCCCCCATAAGGGATTGGGTCCAGTTTATAGCAACAGAAAAAAAAAATGCAGTGCATTTGATTTTCCAGAATTAAGCTGGTTTTGTGAAGGCAAATGATGATTCAGACTGTATGCATACTTAGTTAAATCCCATTGCAATCCATATGCACAGCAGTAACCACAAGTGAGGCCAAAGCAAATTGATTGATTTAAACAAACTCTGAAATTCCAGTAAAAGGCTCGATTTGTTCCACCCTCCACTCCATCAAAAAATCAAAAGCCGATTTGCTTGCAATCGCACTGGCACCCGTCGAGTTGCAACATATATGAGGCAACAGATTTTGGGATTAAAGTCTTTAATATTGCAAATATCTGGAGAACATAAATTTGAGCACAAAATACCCAAAACACTGCACACTAGAACATGAGGGTCACCCCAAATTGTTTTGTAGTTCAGCAGTTCTGAATTGATCCATTACTATTGGAAAATAATTTTCCTGGAAATTTTTTTCATGACCCTTCTTATTTAAATTACATTTTTCACTCCAGAGTTATTGTTATGATTTGTACAACACGATCCATAACATCCAGATTAATACAATGTATGATGATTAAAAGTTATTGCAAAGTCTTTTATCACAACATCGTCTCATTAAATATAATTAAAACACACGTATCTTATCTATAAATAACAATATCTATGGTTGTGTTTAATTGTAAAACATCTATATTAATCTCATTTAAATTAAGTTTAATGGTTTCAAATTTGATTCGCACTCTTTTTTTCTACAGTTTCACATCCCACGATTTTAGCAATCAAAAAATAACATAATAAGCCCCGCATATGCACTTTTACTCGATATCTTGGGACGCTAAGCCTCAGCTTATTAACCACTTGTTTAAAGCTTCAGTGCTTTATTATATGCTACAACACTTGGGTACACACCAAGATAAGGGACTGAGAATGAGGTATCCTCTTTCGGCGGGGAAACTGAAAACCACAATAAGGCACTTACATCAGCAAAGCCTGCGTATTACTACACGCCAACAATGAGGACATGCGTGTCTGGCTGCATTCAAGTAGATGCCAGCTTTCACGACCTCCGACCTGCAACTCGATATACCTGCTGGCACCACGGCATGACTACTGTTACAAAAATAAGACATGATATTGTCGGCCATGTCGGTTCGACACTCTTTGTCATGCTCCTCCACAATGCTACGCAGAACAGGAATAGCATTGTGGTAAACACAGTAAGCAAGCGCGATTCCGCAGCATTGCTTTTGCCATGGTGGCCACGTTATGTAATGCCCGTACAACGCGGTCCCCTTTTCTAAAATAAATCCCATATCTGAGCACATACGCGCAGCACCACAACATGGAAGCATTATCCTGCTACCCGCTTATCGACGTTATCCACAAACTCTAATAGGACAGCTCGTGTAACTGCCATTTATGCGTGCCCATGCGCTCACGTATTGGCCATAGATCTGCAGTGCACACAGCACACTGGCACACACAGTCATGAGCCCATCCGGTGAGGCCTATGTGTCATACACATGGGTACACGTAGGTACATGGGCAAGTATTGGCTGTTTTTTGCTGGGGTAACCAGAAACCTGTGAGTTTGAGCCATGTCTTGCACAGGTGCTGATAATAAGGCATTTCAAAACTGACGTAATTTTCACTGGTGGGAGGAGCAGTGGTGCAGTGGTAAGAAAAACTGCGTCATGGACCTGGTGATCCGAGTTAAATTACCGGTCACAATTAACATCAGTGGCGAATGGTATCTAAACACTGACAAGCATGAAGTATGGTCAAACAAGCAGCATGACTGACACAGCATGGGGTGGCCTTCATCCAGAAATGGATTAACCAAAGGCTGAAAATTATTTTATCATTTCCACTGATCCATGTTATAACAACAAAACACGTGCAATGCTGGAAACACATTTTCTTTTTTGTAAACTGTTCTGGGTTAATGCACCTCTCCCCCACCACCAAGATAAAACATATCCAGATTGTAGGGACAGTCCATCATTCATTCTTAAACCTCGAGCTGAGGAGGATATGCATGCGCAGCTGCTCGCGCTATTTTGCAGTGCTTCCTTCTATTAATGTCCATTCGCGTGTGATGTTAAATATATCAGAATCAATGTGCCGCATGCCGCGTGTACATTGCAGTGTGAATGCACCCGCTGTGTACTTCTCTGTAGAGCACAAGAGGCACCCGCGTGTCTGAAGCGTGCCCAGCCTTCGCCCCATGTTGCAGCCGCTGAACGGCACAATTTATTCACTGTAAACACGCATTTCGATTTTAATTAAACAAGAACTGACAAAACTGTAATTATTTCTGACAGTCAACCATCTGAAAATAGAATAGGGGTGTTCAGCAATGCTCTCGCTGTAAAATGCATTTGCAAGCAGTTGGGCGATGCAAAACGAATGTAAACGCAATTCAGATTTAATAACAAATACAAATTCGGCAACACAGAGGGGAAACATTTGCCAACAAGTAATTTACATTACAGACTTCAAAAGTAAAATTACCTCATCAACGCCCCACGCGAATATAAGACCATCAAAGAGGTTACCAAATATTCACGTGACTTGCACAACACATTTTGCGGCGCACAAAAAATATTTCATTCGCCCGCAGCACCGCGGCGATTGCCCTCGCTCACCGTGACTAAATTACCACGAAACGAGAGCCTCTCTCCTCTTTAGCGCTGGTGTTTTTCCACCAACGTCAGAAGCACAGTGTTGGTGTCGCCTCATCGTTGTGCCGGCAAGCAGCACGACAGTCCGGGAAATGTCAGGCGCACGGCATCGACGCACGCCCGCACGCTCGCTCCCCGCAAATCCAAAGCCCTCTCAACGAAAAACGGACCACGTCCGAGCCAAACCACATCACGGCGTGCAACAACGCAGGGACATGCCGGCTGACACCAGCTCCAAATATCCAGCCGCTGTTCTTATCTATAAGCGTGACACACAATACGTGGAGTCGGCTTCAAGGCGGGTTTAACCAGCGTAGCTGCGACACGTGAGTGTGTGAACCACGCTGCAGTGTCACCGAATGATGAAACGTACGGACGCATTCCAGAGGGATGGGCAACATTTTTTTGAGGCAGATGCGATGAAAAAAAAGTTGTCCCAGCCTAAGCCTGAGCTTATTTCCGAACCCATTTATGTAATAAACATTGTAACATCACAGAAAAAAAAACACATTGCCAGACCTCAAGGCCGTTCCCATAACCCCCAATACTCCCAATCCCTCCATCGGCTCCCAATCCAGTTTCACATCAAATTCAAGATTGCTCTCACCATTTATTAATATGATGACGGACGCTTGTGTTGCTTCCGAAACGTCGCGATTTAATTAATTTGTTATTTTATACCTATGTGACTTTACCGAAAGAACCAAAGAGTATGGATCATTGCAGTCACGAAAACTTCAGATCTAGATTCTCTATAGGCTCGCTCACAACCTACCTCTTCCCTTCCCATCTCGCTTTACTGAATCGCCTTCACGTTCTTTCCGATCTCTCCTCAGCCCAAGGCCTCCTGGTCCAAGCCCCAAGCCAACCGCGGCTCGGTTCTCTCCTGCCTATGCCCATCTCTTCCCCTCGAGATTATATTTAGTTCGTATACTGTATGGAGACTACCATCTGTACGATATGCGTGCCACACTGTTTTTGCACAGCGTCTTGAGATGTATAGAGACGCCAAATAAACCAGAATGGCACTGTACAGGCAGACCTCGCCGAATGTGGGGGGTTGCATTCCTAAAAAATGGCATGTTTGGCAAAACCGCATTCGACAAATAATACACCTTATGGGAATAACAGGATTGCATACCTGGGTCCAAAATTACTACCCCCCCCCCCTATTGTTGAACTAATTCTACATCATTTCCACCCTTGTTATTGTAAATTTCCTGTGTGTACACGCTTATTCTTCACCCCCACCCCCCCATCTCCATTACTCGTCCCACAACTTGGCACTCACGGCCAATGACGGCCCCTGACACTGAATTCCCAGCCTGACGCCCGCCCCTAACACTTGTCACCTGAACGTTAATGATTCGCCACCGAGGCGTCCATATGACGAACGGCCTCAACAAGTTGACGGCTAGATGCATGCTGCAAGGTGTGAACATTTGCATTGTGCGTGTTGAGTTTGTTACATTATAACATAAAAAAAATATGCAAAAGAACACACAAAAACACGTCGTAAAGAGTTTTCAAAGTTGATTAATTAACACCTTCCAATGGCTGCAGCACTCCCGGCACTAATTTTCGACGGGGAGATGAAAATGTTAGCGTCAAACCGAATATTGCCAAAACATCGCCCCTTGTGTTCCAGAAAACAGACCTCATGAGGTAAAATGTGAACAGCCGGAAGACGCTTTCAATAAAGCCACATTGGGCCAAGTTTGTCCTGTAATATGGTGATCGCCATAAAAAAATATCTAGTGAATTTTCTAAATATTTTAACTGACCACTGGGTAGGCTGATGTGGTAATGATGATTACTGATGTTTAACCACAGCTTGCCTGATGTTTTACATCTTTGAAATGTAAATAATTTCAAGCGATGTTGCACAGCGGAAAAAAAACCCAATTAAGTTAGGATTTTGTTGTTGTTGCAAACCCTTCTTACCCAGTTACAGTGTTTGTTTTGTGATGTGATGAGGTTACTGCACAAGTCTGAATCCAACAGAATTGTGTACTGGTAGGAAACCACACTCCCTGGCTTTGCACAGATTGGCATGCCAGCTAAGGCTTGCTGGGCCGATTATATATATAAAAAAACAAATTCTGGATGCAAAATATCCCTCACATCACAGACAAACCGACTCCAGTGGAAACCTATTCACAAGACAGCCATGACGGGCACATCAGTGGCAAATATTAAGTCGCTCCCAACAAACCGACGACCTACGCTTCAAAATAAAAAATCACAAAGCAGGCGCACGCGCATCAACGAATGCATTTCCGCAAGATTTGTCTTGACGCGCGTCCTTTCCCACCGTGGTTGCACATGACTGACCTGCAGCAAACGCATCAACCACACGTCGTTCACACCTGCACTGCCGACGGTAGCATTTTCAGTCATCGTTCAAAACTCGGCCGGCGCACACGAAGGTCACTCGCTATTCGCCTACCTGGTCGGGGCAAGGTGCGGTTGCAGCGGCAGCAGTGCCGGAGGCGTGAGGTTCGTCGTGGCTTAGAGACGATGGCGCCGAGACAACGTTCCCAGTTGTGTGCGACACCTGCAGAGGCAACGCCGCGCCGGGCAAATGCACAAATCCCACACCACGTGGCACATTTTACAGAGGCGGTCCCACAGAGGTCACCGATACAGCCACAACGCAGCAGGGGGAGTAGGCAGCAACGGAAAATAAACAAATGAGGTGTGGGTCATGAAGGTTAGGTGAGCATAAAATATTACAACGAAACATGTTTTTTTTTAATTCTAGACTGGCTCTCAGTCTTACGGAACGGAGCAAATTCCAAGATAATAGCAAAAATTTTTTTAAAATACAGCTGGAAAAAAAAAGATTTAACAAAACATCATCCTGCCAGTAATGGCTTCTCAAAATAATTGGCATTCGAAAAAAATAACCAAATCCTATTTATTTTAATATTCTAATTCTTCAAAGAGCGCAGTCCGCGCCTCTGAGAGTAAAGGTAACAGCAGAGAAGAGCCGGCGGTGAACACAGCGCACAAGTGGCGGGGGATCAAAACAGCAGTGTCGACACATGCACGCACGCCGACAGCCCTCTCCCTCCTTCCTGTTCTCCGTCCTCCCTCCCTCCCTCGCTCGCTCCTCCCTCTCCCCTCCCTTCTCCTCATCCAGCCCTCCTCCCTGTCCTCCCTTCTATCGTCTTCTCTGTCCCCTTCTCTTCTCTCATCCTCATCATCCCTATCCTCTCCTTCCTTCATCTCCTCTCTCTTTCCCATCCCTATCCTGTCTTCCATCCCTCTCCTCCTTGTCCTAACCCCTTCCTTTCCTCTCCTCTCTGTCCTCCCTCCTCCTCATTCCTGTCCTCCCTCTCTCTTCCCTTTCCTCTCCTCCCTGTAATCCCCTCTTCTTTGCTCCCCCTACCCACCCTCTCCTCCCTCACCATTCCTCTGCTCTCTTGGAGACAGCTGTCGGCGAGTGCGTGCGGCTGTCAGACACAGGCACCCGATCTGCCGTCAGCTATCGGAGGCTCTGAGCGGCGTCACCTCCACTTGAGGGAGCCATTCACATTGACAGGACAGACTCGAGAACATTGAAGCCGTCCGACAATTAATTACATGCTCATGCACGCTGCGGACACACACACACATGCGCATTTTATTTATAATGAACCATTCACCTAATTCATGCATAAAAATATATATTATAAATTGACACGCTATATAATGCAAAATAAGATGCCGTGTGTAAGTGAAATAAATATATTTAAAATGTTAATGTAACACAGAGATTCTCTCTCCAATATAAACAGATTCCCCCCCCCCCCCACCCCCCATCATTTTAAAAATAATTCTATAAACACACGCATACATATATGCACACATATCCATGCCTGAATATACAGATCGTAAAATGTAAAAAATACCACTTACCCGGCCATATTTTTTCAGAATACCTTCCCAATAAAAAAATAGGAAATGAGAAATTGATAAAAAAAATAGACAAATGACGGTGGCACAACTAAAATTAAAAAACACGCTGCCACATACACAAGTGAATGCGCGTTGGAGCTTCCGAGGCGGAAGGTGGTGGCTACATTCTGGATGCGCAGAGGCAAGCGACCCGGACTACAAATCTCAAGCTATGAATGGAGCCTGCGCGTGAACGGTGTGGGGGCTTTTTTTTACTGAATGGAAGATGGCCCATGAATGAACAAGACCGCATCACACACCGCCGGCATGTATCACGGGGCTCTCTCCGCTTCCCATTTGCATGCCGAGAGGATGCGGCGCTTTTATTTTTATTATTACTGCTACTATTATTATTTCAAGCGGCAAAAAAATATATAGAAGGGCACTTATCCTGCGGATGCCTGCGTGGAGCTGCGTGCCTTATGTGCGCACGTGTGTGCTCGTTTCGTTCACGCACACAGCAGTCCCACACACAATTTTGCCACCATTTGAATCCCTGCCATGATCTTGCTTCCTACAAAATTACAGAGCATCCCATGCCGGAGATTTGCTATAAAATTAAATCCCCCTTCCCCTCCCTCCCCACTCTCCCTCCCTCCCCAACGCTGTCGGCGTGCTTACAAGTGTGCATTTTACTGCATCCATGGCAGCTCAGAGTCATGACTACATTTGTTTTATTGTTTCGCGTTTTAAGTTGTACAATTGTATACACAACAAGGTCTACGATAGGAAGATGTATCCGGTTCAAGCTGTGTTTTGTACAGCTGAGATTTGCTTCCACATACGTGTCAGATAGGATTGTTTTAACAACGACACCTACAAAAGGAATGGATGATGTACAGTGAAAAAAAAACGTTGAATGCAAATACAGGAAATGTCCACCACTGTATCCTGTTAAGGCTTAGTGATGTAATGGCAAGCAGAAAACCAATCTATGTAAACATGCTCGCTTCAGGATGTTATTTACCAGACGACCAATGTATCCAAGTCTTTAAAAATGTACAACAGTGAACAACAGCAGCCAGTCGTCGTACAAAAAAAAAAGCCACCAAGTAAAAACGGTTTAATTTATTTCAATTAAATCATCGCTGCTCACTGATGCCGCATCTGATTAATTCGCCACTTAAACGCGCGGCTTGCTACCAACAGCTGCACGTCCCCGCACAATTATGCTTCTACAATGCAATTCGCGGGAACACAAATTTTCATCAATAACCTATCCGAAATAATGAACCATAATTTAGCGATCGTATTTACAAACTGCTGTTATCAAATCATTATTTCAAAGGTGGTGGTGGTGATGGAGGGGGCAGGGGTGCACGCAGGTAGACTTGCAAGCAAGCAAAAGAGTAGAAAAGCCACTCGATATTTTCGCCGTGATGAATGGTCTCATATTGGGGGAACGTACACGTTCCTATTTGATTGTGTTAGCATGGGAGGTGGGAGCGATGACTCACGCACGCCCACTCGCGCCCGCACTCCTCCGCACGCCCAGGATCTGTCGACAGCATCGCGGGGAGCGCATCACCCAGCAACGGGAAGCGACAACCACCGTCACTGGGGTCAGCGCTTGCCACCGGAACCCGCCGATTCTTATGCCCTTTGTCATTAATACAAGAACGGCAAGACGGTGATCCCAACACCTCAATATGGGAGGGGAAGTGGCTGGAAGGGGCGCACCCCCCCCCCTCCTCCTCCTAGCCCCCCACACATTTTATATTCTTCTATAGTCGAGTCAGAAAATGTTGGAACAATACAAAATTAGTACAATGAAGTAATGAGAGTTGCGGCCTTTTCCCATACATTGCGGTGAAAGGTAGAGTGATATCCCTGAACTGGTCTCTACTAAACTACCAGGTAAGGCCCACTGAGATATGTAGCTCTTTTTTAGAATCGACCTTGCCACAAATGATAGCTCAACAAGAAGTGGCTTATCACGTGGAAATGTATTGCAGCTAAATACTCAGAACGCTTGTTTCTAAATGTGGAGGGGAAAACTGGAGGACCGGGAGAACAATTCACGTGACCACGGGGAGAAAATCCAAACTCTAAGTATACAGGTGTCACAGGGTCAGGATCGAACCGACGACCTCCTGTATACCAGGCGAGGTAGTTAACATCTCACCACCGTGGCACCCAATTCTAAGGTCTGCTTCACCAACGAGCGTGGGGTATGGTCAAACAACCGCCATTTGACTGTGCTGGCATGGGAAGGCCTTCAGCAGCGTATCGGCAAAGGGCTGTACATACTCATCATTATTATTAGTCATGCTGTGAGTGCAGAATTCAAGATGGACAAAAGCAGATCGCATTGTTTACTCATTCTCTTGAGTGTTTAACATTTATGTGAAGTTTGTTGAACATTGGGGTGCTGGCAGGGTTCGAAGAAAATGCAACCCAATACTCAAACATCTCATATTTTGAGATATGTACCAAAGTTACATGCCTTTGAAGATTCGTTAATATGAAAATTTTAGTTCACTGTTACAGTCACAAATTGCTGTATGAGCATACAGCACCTATTTAATAATTGTGTATGACAGCAATATATTCAAGAGCTAGATGCTGATGTCGAGGTCTGCTCGCGACGAAAGGGCTTGAAGAAAGAATTTGTGTCATTTTGCTATTCCTCCACTGAAGGAGAGAACGCTACATTAGTTCATTAAACGGTCCATGGTTTGGGAGGTTATGTGGGCTAGTCGCACTTGTGGCACTTACTCAAGTGAGGTAATAATGCTGTCTTCGCTTGAGGTGAAGTGAAGTTCAGTGCCATTTTTAAATCCTTTATATTAAGTTCGCTTGCTTGCGTGCTTGCGTGCTTGCTTGCGTGCTTACGACCGTGCAAATCTTTCGGTCGTTTTTTAACCCACTGCCCGTGATCCAATCGAGCTGACATTTTCCACACAGACTCGTTGTGCGTGACAATTAATTTTCGTGAAATTTTTTTTCCAAAATTTTACACTGTTTAGGGGAATTTTTTTAAATATTTAATTACCAATTGTTTAATGCTGGCAGAAAATCATCTGACCCATAGGTGGCAGCCATCTCAAGCCAGAGGACGAGAGGACTCTAGCCACCACGCATATAAAGGATTTATAGTGAAAAACTTTGTTTTTACGGGTTAATTTTTATTAAGTCAGATCAAATCTGTAGATGCGTTCATCTGTAGGAGGTTTCTCAAGGGGCATTGATATTGAAAGGGACCCTTGCAACAAAGCCATATTCATGGCCCATCCCGTTGAAAGTGGCTAAATGATGATAGCCAGAATCAGCTCCCCCCCAGAGACCACTAGTTTCATAAACGTTGACAACCCGACAAGCGAGATGATGGTTTAAGCTCTGAGCCACTCCACCACTGATATTGAAAAATGCCCAGCATTTGTCTAATCAGTGCAATTTGATCTCAATGGCCTGTTGCACAGACATCATATTCAACTCTGAATGCTTTGCAACAGAGGCGCAGGGTGAAGGCAATCTGTGCTACACTCAGCAGTGGATTTATGAAAAATACCTCTTCATCGAAGTACCATTAAGTGGAATTAAACCGCAGCGTTCATTAAAATGTAAGATATTTCACTGTAAACGGTATCATTTGTTAGAAGTTATTGGAAATCG